AATATCAACCATCAGTGCCAAACCTAAAACAAATCCTAATGAAAAAATGGCATTTAATAGAACAACAACCATTACTGAGCGAAATCTACAAGGATCCGCTCCTCGTTTCATACAAAAGAGGGCGTTCGCTCAAAGATATACTTGTGAGAGCCAAACTATAAAAGGCTAAAACACGCGCTTGAGAGTCCTGCAGGCCTGTCAACCCCATTTTACACTTACAACAGTCGTAAAATACGAATATTTATTTCTCTGTGATATAAATAACTTCCAGCATTCTTATGCTTTATAGATCTTTTTCAATAAACTTAAAGCTCTTTCGGCCTATCATCTTTGTTTTCGCGTATAAGAAAACTCTCCTTGTAACGATACTTATCTTAGGTTCTTTTTCTTTTGAGATACAAACATTTGTCTGGATTTGTTCAATACGGCATGAACTTAAAATAACCTTGATTTAAGGTAAACTTTATCAGTAACCGTTACAGTCGTTATTTGTTTTATTATCATCGTCATTATCACTATCATTTCATCATAGTCGTTATTATGTCGTCTGAAATATAGTCTTTGTTGTCACCATCGTCATCATCATCATAATCGTCATGCCGTCAAAATTGTTGCTACAAGCTTTCCAGGATCCTTCTGAAATGTTGGGATGACTTCAGGTCACGCGTGCACAGCACGAGTTTGTAAAACACCGGGCAGTCCAACGACACGCAACCTAACCTGGTATCACGTGACCCACAACAGCTGTAACATATCTGTAGAGGTACAAAGAGATTGTTACACGGAATCATGATGTCACAAAATCAGGTCCCGTGATCAAGGTCATAGCATGACCATAGGGCCACTCAACTCCTACCTCTGCTAAATGTTGGTGAGTTCTTTCCCATTTGCGCATGCGGCTAGCGAGAGAAACAGTCGACAGCTGGGGTCTGGCCCGACAGTTGGTGCACAAATCTGCTGGAGTAAGCTCTTGACAAACTGGGCACGTCATGGTAGAGAAGTACTGGGAAATAGTGCCCTGAAAGGACAAAAGAGTGTCAAACACAAGAGGTAAGAAAGATAACAAGACGAATCTAGTCTCACGTCAAGTCTCTTTCCAGGACTGCTCATATCTTAGAGTCGCCCACTACTTCCTCAACGCTCTAGCATTTAATTAATGGGATGATATGACAACTTAGGCATGGAAAGATATTCCGCTTATGGATTTCAGTTTAAGGGAACAGGATGAAAATTTGTGACCAAAGGAGCAAAAACTAAAGTAAAAGAAACAAATTCGCATTTATTTTGGCATAAGGAACAAACCTTTTTTCTCTCTCCTGGGTCCGTGGACATCTGTGCTACGCGCACAACACGCGGGAGCTCTGCGTACCTAGCGAGTGTCAAATAAAACCCGCATCACCCGCGCTGTACGTAAACAACTAAAACTATAACAGTAGAATGACATAAAGTCGGTTATTTAGTTGTGCGTGAAGGTGCATTGAGGAGATTTGTAAATGCAACATTTGTTGCCAAACCTATCTCGTGTTTTTTCAGTTTCTCACAACCGTTTGCCTAACTGGATCACGTTAAATGAGTTGGGAATTCGTTTTCATAGTTTTAAACATTTTTATGGGATCCACGCTGCTTTACAATGATTGTTTTGAATATGAAATGTTTATGTCATGTTACCTTACCATGTGAACACGTCCAAGCCAATGAGAGAGAAGACACGATTGAGCGGTGGTAAGATCTGTTTAGTGATGTAATAAGATGCGTTCAGTCGAAGGCCGGGATCCTGAAGCACTTCATGGGGTCTGGGGAGAAATGAGGTAATTTTAGATCAGAATTTGTGACATTCTCGTCCCCAGATACACGTGCCCTTCTTAGCCGGCGGGGCCTCGGCGCGAGACAACCCTATCCTCGTTCCAACTTCCGCTGGCTAGGAGGGACAGGCGGCTCTGGGGACGAGAATGAGCTTGTGATGAAAACCTTGACACATGTCAATATTCTGTCAGCATTTCATTACAATAAGTCAGGTTACTAAGCAACATTCTCGTCTCCAGAGGCCGCGCTCCTTTTGGTCAGCACCAAGAATCACGATCTCTGGCCGGACCCGATCTTCTGAGCACGCGCAGAGAATTCATTTCGCATTCTCAGCCAATCAGATTTGTCAGATTTGACGGGAAGTCCGTGTATCGCGGTGTTGGAACAGCACAGAGGTAGCGATTCTTGATGCTGACCAAAAGGAGCGCGGCCTCTGGGCACGAGAACGGCTTGGCAAGGGTTTCAACGAAAAGCACATGCTCAACCGATGTTTTTTCGCAAGACGGGATACCTCGAATTGTCCAAAATGAAAAGAATCCAACTGTTTCGAACTTGTTCACCAAGTTTTCCACCAAGCCAAAATGTCAGAACATTCTTGTTGAAAATCAATTTGAATGGAAAACTCTGATTGGTAAATTTCAAGGAAAATAGTTTACCTTTTCTTCGCTGGTCAGACTGAAATTCGCCATTCCATTTTAGCAAAACATTTCCTTCCTTTCCCCTCTTTTTCCATTTTTCAGGCCACCTACTCTTATTTTCATGTTCTTTTTAATCTTTGTGAGAAGCAATGTAGACTATTTGTTCGCCAATATTGCGTTTACCATTAAATAGTTTGTCCTTACTCTTACTGCTGCAGTAGAATTGTTCGGATGTCGTGGTAGGAAGCGAATGTGAAATGGTAAGGAGCATTTAAGGGGCATTTCATTGCGTTGCTTTGATTAAAACAAACAGGTCGTTCCATTTTGCAATTGCTTATCAGCCAAAGGACGAAAGATAGTAATCAGAGCAAATGAAATAAGCGAGATGATTTACTGACCGTCTCACGAGCTGAATCAAAGGCAAACCAGGACTACCGTACACCACTACATACGGGACTCTTTCTCCCACTCTAGGCTCTGATCTGCGGTCCTCTCTGAGCATGCGCCTATAAAAAATCGACAATCAAGAAAAGACTCAGTGAGCATCTTGAACGAAGTACATGTAATTCACAATCCCTCAGACAATTAGTGGATGAAGCATTCAAGCTAACACATCCAAAAATAGGCATTTGGGTAAAAACCCATGGAAAGGAGCACAAGACACGCGACTCTTCAGAACCTGTTATTTCATTGGCTCGCTGTTTCACGCAGCTCTCATGTATTAAGGGCTAGGTTAGTTGTTTCTATTGTTTGTTCTATTGTTTTCTCAGTCAATCCCAAGCCTTCTGAGAGGTGCGTGGCGCCTCACTTGAAAACAAGGAATTTGGATTGAGAGCACGAAAACGGTTGGGCTGAAGACATCTAAACGAGGAACACTGCTATGCACAAATGACAAATTAGCCATTTTCGATATATTAAAATTCTAACTTGGTGCCGAGGCTTGGGGGAGTAAAACAAAAGAAATCACATCGAGGATGAGGGAAGAATAATCAATTTCTTTAGTTTTATTTTCCCAAGCCTCAGCGTTAGTTAAAATTTAATGTATCGAAAATAGCCGACTGCCAAGATAACACTGTCTCCAGTCTCCTCACCTCGTCAGCTCCAGAGCTGGTACACATGCCCCTGGTTTGTAGTTCTTCATTCCGCGGTATTCTTTTGCGAACGTGAAGTCCTGGAGACTGGCGCGTCCCTCCATCAATTTTGTACACTGTCGCTGGACAAACCTCTTAATCAAAGACAGATCGCGTGTTTCGAACAAAACTCGCAGCGACTTTTCAAGTACCTGGAAAGAGTGAGTAGACAAACAACATGAATGTAGTTGTGGTGCAAGTTAAGAAGAGCACGACAGAGAAGGGTAGGGTAGGGTAGCGTTGGGTAGCAAGGGTGTAGGGTCCGGTGGGGTGGAGTAGGGTAGGGTATGGTTGGCTCGAGCAGAGTATAGTAGACGTTTCTATGATAGAGTGTTGTAAAGAAGATCAGAAATGAGCAGAGAAGAGTAGGGTTAAGTAGAGGAAATGGTAAGATGAGGCTGACAATATATACTGAGGTTGCGACTAGATAGACTTCTCGCGTGAGAAGACGTTTACATTAGAAAGTTTCACAAGCACGAACTCCTTACAGTCAAACCAAGTGAAGCGTACCCCTCAAAATTACATTAATGGATTATTTGAATATTGAACCCGCTAGTCGTTTCAAGAATGCAATAATGAACTGATTATTGGAAAATAAAACCTGGAAGTCGTTCCAAGAATGCGGCTAACGGGTTTAATGTTCAAAAAAATCAATTAAAAAAATAATTTTTGAAATCACTAGCGAGTTCAATATTCAAATAATCAATTCATTATTGCATTCTGGAAACGATTAGCGGGTTCAATATTCAAATAATCAATTCATTAATGTAATCTTGAGGGCTTTGCTTCACTACGTGACCATGACGTCATGACGTTGCCTAGCCGCTTTCGAATGAAAACCGAGAACTCACTCGCTCCGAACGGGGGTGTGAAGGAGGCAACTCCGACCAAAAATGGCTATTTATTCTCTACCGTGGTATGGCACTATTCTGAGATGAGCAATTAAACAAATGAAGATATTTTCGATTATCTCGACTTGTACAAACCTTTGCTACTGCAGGGCAGGAATCTCTTCGCACGGTCTCGATCCCTTTAGCGTCAAATACAGGCTCCTTCTGATTTAGAGACTCATACATATATCCAACATAACGCTTCTTTGTTTGCAACACACATGGAAGATAAACCTGAAAAACAAATTACTCTGATAAAGATTTTGCGCTTTAAAATAAAGCACAAATCAATAACTTAATTGGCAATGGTGAACACTGAGGGTTTATAGGGGAAATTTTGTCCTATAATTCAAAACGAGAAAGCAAAGTGTAAACTTAATTTGTCGTACGTTGCAATGAAAGTGTAAGGATAAATTAGATGTTATCCCCATGACGACTGTACGCCAGTCAACGCTCATAAATGGATGCAAGGAAACACAGCTACAAACACCCTTACAACGCTGTCTTATCCCCAGGCGTCTCTCGTTCATTGGAGCGTGGTGCATGTTGGTCTACGCGTTTTGCCGCTTAACCATCAAGCCCTACGCTCCCTGTTTCCTGCCTTTCATCGACGAAATGGCTTAATTAACCGCGCCTGGAGACGAGGCGGCATACAACGGTATGGCAAGCGCGGGAAATGAGACGACAACCAAATTAACCCTGGCACATGATTGGTTGAGCAAACAGCTGCTTCGGTGTGATTGGTTACAGCAACCACTAACATCAGTTTTAAACCCATTTTAATGCTCAGTTAACACCAATTCAAAGAAACACTCCTCGCTTTTGTCAATGAATTGAATACCGCTCTGTGTCAAGAGGCAACTAAATTTACGGCTCTGTCTTAAGTTATAAATTCCAGAATTAAAAGCCACACCTTTTCAAACTTGAGCTTGACTGGCTTCGGATTCATCGCCGTAACAGTATCCACAATGTCTTTACCAATGTTGAACGCCTGTTCTTTGGTCGCACCCTTGATCAACACAAACAAACTGAAAGATACCATTAAATACCAGGTCGTTACGTCCACAATATCATTGCAACAACAACAACAACAACATCGATCTTTAATCTGATAAAACGTCAAGATTGCCGTCAGAAATTTGGAAGCGAATATAGGCCACACGCAAACCCACTTTGCTGTTGAGTTCTTGTTAAGTTTTTTTCCTTAGTGTCAAACACTTTCCTTTCTTGCAAGTAAATATAAAACGGGAGAGAATACGAGCGTTTGCTTGTGATTTTTATTTTGCTGCGCAAAAAGCGATATAGCGTGATGCAAAGTACATAAGAATGTTCTGGTTATCTCAGACTTTACAGAATGTACTCATTGTCACTTGAAATGTGTTACATTTTCTTTTTAACACAGCCAAAGCAACAAATTTAACACACGCCAGTTGAAAGATTACTTTTCCATTGAAGTAATCCAGTACATATACATGTTTCGTGAATATTCGTATTTACACGTGAGCTTCTTGACTTCGCAGGTTTTTAACAGAATATTTGGCGCCATACTTTAGTTTTTCCAGTAGATATGTGTGGGATATGGGTTTATCAAGGGGAGAGTTAGATTTTCGCGCAGATAATTTGCAAGCAATCATTTAAAGAGTATTACGAAGGAATCCACCAGAAGTTCGAGTAAGAAATGGACCAAAACTTTATACAACGTTTATTTACACTGCATTACAAACTTCTGTGTGACTATTTTGAATATATTCTCGAAAGAAATCACTTCCATCAAAAGCACATTTTGAAGTTCATATAAAACACTTGAAAGTACTGGTGAAATGAAAGTAATGATAAAATTTGACCTGCGTTTGTACAATTTCTCTGAGCTTTAAAATTTATTTTTTCGAGTTTTATTTCCTTGAGCTTTAAGAAAATGCAAAAAAAAGACTGTAATACAATTAATATTATTCTGCATGGTACAAGGTTTTTGTCCACTAAACACTCAGTGAAATTGCTCGATTTCCTATCGGATTTTGCCTTATAGAGGTTTACTCTTTTTAGATTCGACTATACTTAGCTATTCAGGCAAGCACTTTTACGCTTCTTATTTTAGGAAAACACGAAGGAGTCACCGAACTGATTTGCGTGCAGCAATCAAAAGAAAACTAACGTATAATCTGTCTAGGAATAATCCATCATTCATACAATCGATCAATACTACTAAAGGGATGCGATTAATTTTTTTAATCCATGATCATATCATTCCATTTATCGCCGACTATCCAACATCCATCATAAGATTATCACTGGTGAACCGACAAGGTCACGATACGGGAAGCTCCACTGTTGTAACCTTAGATTAAAAGTATTTTATCCTTAACTACGCAGTAATTTTTATTAAAATTTTATTGCACCTTTTGTTAACTATTTCATTCTTTTCATTTTCATTCTCATTTCAACTGCCAACGAAAGACCTCTCGGGAAATGCCAATACTAAAAAGTATTGTATTGTATTAATTAGTTCTTGTAGTCGAGCCACAAGAGTTTTCTGACCACAAAAATCCGTTTTGTAGTCGACCCTGTATATTTCTGGTTTATGTAACATGGCTTTCGACGGAATAATTTTCTTTAAGGTCACCCTCGCGTATTTTCAATGCGATTTAAAGTAGCTGAGGAATATGCCTTTAATTACAGAAAATCGGTTTATTTTATAGAAAAACATTGGAAAAATGACAAGAAGGCATTAGAAAATGAGGACAATGATGGCCAGGATATGGACACAGATTACAAAGTGGACAAGCTTGACAGTATAAGACTGACTCAAGTTAGGGAGAGAGAGATTTGTGGTCTTCATTAAAGTTTTAAGCAAACACCCTCTGAAAGCGCCAACCTCAGTGACATTAGCAATCGTGTTTTGTCGGTGTTGTGTCTTCTAATCTATATTACCTGTCAGTATCACCGTAAACGACTCGCGCGCCCCAACGCGGGGTGTTATTGACAAGATCTATGGCTCGTTCCAAGGTCTCGCGTGCCTTTCGCACGATGGAATCACCGATCTGAAGAGTGAGATATAAAAAGTGATTTTGACATGAAGGTATGACCAAGTTAGCACCATCTGCTCGTGGCAGTGATATATTTGTAGGCCAATGCGGTTGTAACTAGCTTTTTATATGAACCGTAAGAAGTTCCCTTCCCCCTCCTATTTCCCTCTCTCTCGTCCACCCTGACTTTTTGTTTTACTCAAGCTGCAGAGATATGACTATTTCCTTTGACAATTTTTACTTGTCTCACCTCCACACAAGGCATTCTGCCAGAAAAATGTGCTGACGTGTACCCAAACGTCACATTGGCGATCAGCTTCAAGCCCAGTTGACGAGCATCCAACATTCGCCCGAGAGACTGGGAAAGAAAAGAGAGCACGACTCACCATGGTAATAACCCGTTTCTCGCAAAGAAGGAATAGTTGAATACAAATAAACCAAAATTATTTCTAACTTCTCTAATACTCTCGCTTCCAGGACACGTTCTCGTCGCGTAATCGAGAAAATGAATGGCTTCAAAATTGCCAATCACTCAGATTGTTTGACGAAACTACACAATATACTGTAAGGAGAAAGCACTGCGTTGTCCCAGTCGATTAACTTCGAGCATCAACAGAAACAATGCTGTTATTCCTATCAATTACGTTGTGAATTGCCCAATGCAAGAGGGGCCTACTATCTAAACGTCTTCTACCATCAACGCTCTTTTACCCCAGGGAAAGTTTTTCCATCAAGTGAACACGAATTCGGACATGTTTCTATAAGTGGGTTGAGTTTGTTGTTGATTCTTGCCTTGCTCCGAGGGTTTTTCTCCGGTTTTCCTCCCTCCACAAAAACCAACATTCTGAATTCCAGTTTGACCAGGACAGAGGATCCGCATGAAAACCAGGTAGGCTGGTGTGGCTTCCTATCTAAATATTGTAATTTACTTTTTAATTTTGTTATTTACTTTGTCACTTTTCCATCTCTTCATTGACGCCTTCACCATGATTCGCGTTTGAAGAATGTCGTCCAACATACTGGCGAAAGAAGAAAAAAGATTTCGCGTCCAAGGTTGAGTATTGTGACCTCTAGAAATAAGTTTCATATCTTGGTCAGATTCAGTAAACTCAATTTATTTGTAAAGTGGTGTTCATGGAACAATTTTACCTGGGTAGAATGCCTTTCCTTACGTTGGATTTCACAAACGCGACGCCGTTTGGACAGACATGGATGTCCCCTTCAAGTTTCTAAATTGAAAACACGTGTTGTTCAATAACAGCAACTGATAACAACGTTAGAAGCTTAGCCGACTACTCAGCAGTCATTCACTAAGCCCATCAACCCGCTAAACCATCACAATATCGCTTGGTTTCTTAAAAAAGCTTCAACGATAACGAAAGAATTGGAAGACGAATTGGTTTCAGGAGAATGAGGCAAGTACGGAGTAAAGAGAATTAACCTTGAGAAGGCTTGGAGGAACACACAGAGAAGTTGCACCGAACTTGAATTCACCATACCTGTAAGGAAATGTGAAAAAACCACGTTTACATTTTAAAAACTGGAAGGCAAAAGAAGAACAGTTAAGCCAGCTATGCCACAATACTTTTTTTCACTTATGACGTACTCTGACAGACAGCTAACTCGTCCCAGGCAGGTGGAGAAACAGTAGTTGTAAGCAATGATCATGGAGGGGTACAGAGACTGGAAATCTAGGACCAGGACTGGATCGCTGTAGAAACGGGACTCCGGTTCCATCACCAATGGTATTGTTTCTGGAGCGCGCATTCTGGCAAAAAAAGGCAAGTAAAAAATACAATTTACGGAAAATTTCTTTATCACTCACTCAAGAAGACTAAATAACCTTCATTTACCCTCGACAATGTTTATAACACAAAGGCTAGTTGGGCCGGGCAAACAACTGAAACAAATAATTCAAAAACCAGTTGACTATTTACAGGCGTGGCCGAGGATTTGAACTCGGGACTACCGTGAAACAAATTCAGGTAGTGGTCAGAGCGGAACTCGAACCCGACACCTCTGGAATGCGAGTCCGACGTGCTGACCACTCGGCCACGCTGATTCCATGCTTGAAGTTTACGGGATTCGTTCGTAATCGCCATTCGCAACTTTAGAAATTTTAGTGGGTCTTAGCGCTGCCTCTTGGATGTAACATTTCAAGCACCACTTGGGTACCTTATGCACTATTATTGATAAATGGCTGCTTCTGGAAACTGATTGTCCAATTATAGGTTAAGCAAGTGACGTACACGATCACAGAAATAATAGTAGTGAAGCTGGCGGTGGACAGTCACCTAAAGTGTCTGGGATCGCGAATTTAAAATAATATCAAAAACAGGATTCTGTGCCCAATTCTTCGGCCAGGCCTTGTTAACAGCCCACTGGTCAGCCTCGAGCTAAGTAAGTATTCGTAACATCACGCTCGGTCGAGATATTGGTTTCCTATTTGGCTTCCCTGCAGACTAACTTTGAGCAACACATTTTAAGTAGGCACATATCAAGGAGGACTCACAGTGCACGTTGTTCGATACTGGGGGAGACTGCGATGTAGTTCATCGGCTTTGCAATCCTTAACATCATTGACTCAACACGATACTAAAGAGACAACGAAACAACACAAACTGTAAACAAACACCAGAACCTCAGAACACCCAGAGCACGCGCGTAGTGGCTTTCTCGTGTCGTAGCATACCGCGCGTAATGCCCTTTCTCGCGCGTATCTAGCATACTTTTTTGTGCGCTCGGCGTTCATTAAAAGAAGCCGTTTAACTCACGTCAAAATTAATGTAGAAGCAATTGATGGCCTAAATAAGGGCGTATAAATATTAACGCTCTCGTTTTGAGATTCACAGAATTCGAAAATCGATCAAAGTGAAACCAACCGAAAGTTTTTGATCTTACAACGATAACGAAAAATGTATAGCCAAGAAAATCTCAGGTCTATAAACTTGAGAAATACCTGCGATCCACGGCATATCACGGAGAAGAACAAGATCCCAAAAAGCCTTGCTAGCTCACTGGTCCGACCAATGAAATCCACGGATTCAAGGATCCTGACGTTACCACGGCAACGTCTGACGTAATGGTCGACTGTTCGCCAGCGGTTGAGGGAAGTTCGGTGGTCCCACCAGTCCGACAGTGTGCGAAACGTGTACAGCGGGATGCGTTCGTGAAGAACGTGAAACGCTACGTTCTCAAACGAGTACCCATTCAACGTAACCTGAGAGATAAAAGGCATGTCAATGACAATGTTAACCATAAGATGACGTATCGTCCGTTCTATTTTAACAATCGGAGGAGCCAAAAGCCTGCAATTTATTTTGATTTCTGTAGCATGTAGCAACTACCCCCCAGCCCCCTCCTCCACAAACTCTTTGTCCAAACAATTTGCCGGTACCCATTTATACTCCGCTGGAAAGAGCCACGGTGAGAGTTAAGTGCCTTGCCCGAGGAACCCAACACAATGACCTCAGTCAAGGGTTGAACCCTGACCGCTCGATCCGCAGTCCAGTTCACTAATCAGTACCATACCATAACCACGGCTCTGCTAAGTGAATTCCTGGAAACTGAGCTCTACTAAAAACCAGTAAAACTCTGCAAGCAATTTTTTGTTTTGTGTTCTCAGACTTTCAGATCGTACCTCATGTCTCATGAGCCTCCAGACATTCAAAATAATCCGTCCAGCGATCTTAATCTCAGAAGTATGCGCAGCGCCCCATTGATCTTTCTCAGCGTCCATGTTACTGGCAGAGGACGAGCCTTTAACACGGGACAGCCACGTGCAAAGGTCAATCTCGAAGGTCAATGCCCTCTCGAGGAGAAAACCCCACGAAAACATCTGTACCTCATAACCTATCAAAATATCCGGGTCCCATTTACGGATAATTCTGATCAAAGCCTGAAAAAGGTCTTTCTCTTCAGCTACATATTGTACTTCGTGATCCGTGACCCCTGCACGACATAACAAAGGTCTCAGATGAGAAGTACTAGAGTTTTGCGTCGTTCTTGACACAGATGTGTTGCTAGTGGAGGTCGATGCCACTGCGTCTGAGGAGGACGACAATACTGCCGTGTTCTCGGCCCTAGAAATACTCCTTGCCTTGTTTTCTGTGAAAGAAATATGCTAACGATTAAATACACAACAACGTCAAACTAAAGCACAATTCATATCGTCCACGAAAATATTCTGTCATAGTACCCTTTCTCATCACGTCCTAAATTCGTCGAAAACACACTGAAGTTTTCGAGATGTTGGTTGATCTTCGATAACTTCAAGTCTTCGGAAAACCTCGAAAGCCTTCGGGTGATCTTCCGCTTGAAATGCCTTTAAGTACGCAAGCTGTTAAGGAGCATTCGAATTTTTCCGACTAACTCTTGAAATCTTCGTTGTCGTCTGCAGTCGTGCTAGAAGTATGCATTTGCATCACATGGACGAAACTGCATTCTTTTCATACAATTGGAAATTACGTATTTGTTGTTCAAACCAAAACAAAGTGAACTTACCAGTTTTAGAACTACAAATCTTAAAGGATTCCGAATCCACGCAGATAATCCCAGTGATTTTGTTTCTCCCAGAAGCGAGAGAGGTGTCGGTTTGAATGTAATAAAATATCGCACAGATAGGATCAAACTCCGGGTCTGGCCGCGAGTCACGCCTTGTTCTTACATGAAGTTCTAAGCTGAACAGAGTCAAATGCTGCACCTACAAAACAAATAACAAAAACTTATTATTTTCAAAGATCTTCACGCACTTCTAACAGTATTGGCTGGCATAAAAAGGTAAAGTCTGCATACGAGCCAAGTGGCCCATCAGGCCGGAGCTTGTCCCGGTTTCTGTAGCATGAAGCGACTAGGAGTATTTCTACTCCCCCTGGATGGGATGCTAATCCATCACAGGGGTTATCCCCAGCATTAAATTCGCCGGTACCCATTTATGCACCTGGGTGGAGAGAGGGACTCTGTGAGTAAAGTGTCTTGCCCAAGATCTCAACACAATCGGCTAGGTCTTGAACCCGAACCGATCGATCCGAAGTCGAGCGCACTAGCTATGAGGCCGCCGCGCCTCCACATTGGCTGGCATTATTTGTAGGAAAAAATCACGGTACCTCGTGAAGAGCCTTGGCGTCTTTCAGGTTCACCTGAGTGACCTTGAACCCGTATGTGTTGTTGGGAGAGGGGCCTTCGATCTCCGAGTTCCACGGCATTAGGCGCCGGGGTTCCGAGCCAGGAGTGACAAACTAAGAGCAAGTAAATGAGAAGACATGAATGCGTGCCAAAGTGATATATTGATCATTAACTGCACACTTTTCTTACATCCATTGCCACGAAAAAAATAGCAAAAAGTGCTACCTTCAACTGACTGGCCAGTAGTTGTTGCTGCAGTAAAGGAGTCTGGTCCGAGGAGGCTTGGTTCCCAAGATTATTCTTATCAGAAGTTTCAGCAGTAGTTTTCAGTCTCTTCGCCTTGCTAGCATCTGAAATCGGAGTACAGCGAGGAGACTGGACACCATTTACTAATTTGGTAGCTACTGGAGTGCTGTGGTATGGAGCAGCAAACACAGGACTTTGAGACTGCAGTATGGGCGACAGCGGTTGCTTTGTGGTTAAAGCCCATTGTCGGGGAGTCCCATCTGGAGAGTGCAGTGCAGATGGCGTGACTTCCACGGAGCTTGCACCAGAAGTAAGGGCGTCTTTGGGTTCAGAAAATAGTTCATCATTTTGAGCGGACAACGGCAGAGCTTCACCAATGTTCATTGGCTGTGTATCTGTAATAGTGTTCAGATATTGATTCTTTGCTTGTGTAACTTTAACTGACTTGCACTGTACAATCTCCTGCGGTGTTCCAGACGCAAATGTAAACGTTTTCCCCTCGTTTGGCGAGAACAGGCTGCAAGGACTAGTCACTTCCACAGGACTAGATGAGTCTGATGATTCCATAACATCCAACTTTTGCTCACTTTCGACGACATCAAGCGCCTTATGTTTATTTTCAACAAGGGGTTCAAACTCGGCGTCCACAGATGAACCTCTGACCAGCGTGGTCACTTCCTTAGGAGCTACTTTTGGAGTGGAAGTTACCGGCATGACTTGTCCCAATTCGATTTTAGACGTGTTGGAAACGACTAATTCTGCGTTTCTCTGTTCTGACAATTGATTCTCCCCGACGTTGACCAAGTTTTCATCATTTGAAGTTGTCTGTTTTAGTTCTGGCTTTTTCAGAGCGAGATCCGTTTCTTGCTTTTGAAGTTCTCTCTTGGCAAGTTTATCTCGTGCCCAGGCCTTGACAGCCTCGTATGCCGGTGGACCTCGACATGGTGTTATCACCACTTCTCCTTCTCCCATCAAAGCAATCTTCAGCTGTAAATTCTTGTCGATGTTCGCTGCATCTTCGATGCTTTGATAAATATCTCGAACGCTACACTCACGAGCGGAAGATAACACAAATCTCCAGTGTTTTAAGCCTTGCAAAGAGCTCGAGGATTCAAACTCAGGAAGATTCGACACCTTTCAAGAAACAAATATGAACTTAGAAAGAGTCAAAACATTGGACAGACTAATTTCTTAGAATTCCAGAGTTTTTTGTTGGCACGAGAATGTTGTCCGTTTACCGATTTGTGAAGACTGGATGAAAGTAAGCCTTACGCCCATCACCGTATTGCCTCGATCAGATTTGAGATCAGATTCTCACAACTGATTCTAATAGAAATGCATATCTCCAAGAAGGAGAATTTTAATATCAACATAGTTAGTAAACCAACCTGCTTTGATTCGATTCTCAAAACTCGTCCGCCTACTTTCCTGAAAAATACAAATCAGTAAGACTTGACTTCAAATATACTCTTCAAACCTAAGTTCCGCACAATCCAAAGTGTAATGGGTACTAGTCTTTGTGTGCGTTCCTTTGGGGTGATCTGGACCAAGATCACTCGGATCATGTTGCATCAAAGGAGACGATGAATCCGTGACCAGAGTGGATTCATCGGTTCCTTTGATGCACCATGATCTGAGTGATCTTGGACCACTGATCCTGATCCAGATCACCCTAAACTGGAACGCACCCTTAGAGACAGGGATGTCATAATCTCTATCATCAGTTAAAATGTCGGCGATTTCATTGCTATCAGTTCAAATTTCAGCCCATTTCTCAGCCGCTGCATCAATAATTGTTTATATCCCAGCTATCAAAATCGCGTCATTTTTCACCTACCACTAAATTTTGTAGATCTTAGACTTCAGTTACATATCGGTTCAATAAACGCGTCAATTCTCAGCTGACAGTAAAAATTTCGACCAATTCTCAGCAATAAGTTAAACCCCAAGCACACCCTCTAATGACTTATAAGCTTTTGGTGAAAACGAAAACGTTTCTCTTTCTTCTTTCTTGATTTTTCAAAGTAAACAGAACCAAACTTCGAAAAGTTAGCCTCAAACTTGTACGGTGGTCGATATTATGTTTCAAATCCTCGAATCCTCATTTCGTGTCATTTATCGAGCACTGGTCAATAAAATCAAACCATTATATAATTACGCCGTTAATATTGGTATGATTCGTTGCTCCATAAAATCTCACTTGGGTACACTGTCAATTTAAGCATTAAATGGGAAGCTAACTGTGCTTACTTCAATTATACCAAGAGAAGTCAACAATCCAGGAAACTAACTACTGACCTAGGGCACGCTGGGATGTCATCCGGGTCACTGCAAAATGGCTCTTGGTATCTGCATTGAGGTAGCCCATAATCCTTTAGTGAATTTATCAGTTCTTGTGAGGTTGGCGGCCGTTTCAAGGGTTCAATAGTAATAGGGTTCTCCTGGCCGTGGCGATCATTCCCATTGAATTCGAGAGAGGAAGAATTTAAATCACTTTGTTTCACATGTGTGCTACAGATGTGGCTTTTGTTATGATCCTCTGTTATTGTGGGCGATGCAAGGGAATAAGCATCACGCATGTTCTCTGAGGAAATTCGTTGAACTCGATTCTCTTCCCCAACGGAAATTTCCAATTCCCTGGTCTGCAAATCACCGCGTACCAATGGCTGGCTGTTGGAGGAGCTATCCTCTGCGGTACTCAACTCTAGGATAAACTCCTTTTCCACAGTACTCATAGAACTTTGTTCTTTAGCTTCAGCTAAATACGTCCTACTCGTTTGCATTAGTGATTCAGTTCTCATAAAGTCATGACTTTCCAAGCCAGCAAACGATTCATGTGATTCACTGCTGTAAGCAATTTTCCGTCCACGTGATTTCTCCTTGAGAATTGCATACTCTGAATATAATTCTGAATTCTTTCTTCTCTCAAGAATACTTTCTTCCATCGTGCCATCCTCATTCTCCATATTCACGCACGAATCAATAGATTCCTTGTCGCAAGACATTTCCTTGTCGTCAACAATTTGATCAAAGCTATGAGCACTATTCTCATTTTCGGTTGATTTACATTTGAGCTCTTTGCTCGCATTCGTATCACTGCACTCTAATGATGTGCTCTCGTGCTGAGACTGTGTTTCTCCAAGCTGAGGACGCATTTGCAGTTGTAAAGATTTCTTTTGCAAACGTACATCTGCAGGACTAAAAAATCCGGTTTCATGACCTTGGCTGAGACACGAAGCAGGTATCCTTTCTAGTTCAACATCATCTGAAACCTTGCTGTCTTCTTCAACGATGCTGCTATTTTCAGAAAAGAATTTCTGTTGTTGTACCGGCATGTTGTGTTGGCTTCTCAGATCAGAAGTATCGCGTTTAACGTCCAGTGGTGAAGATGGACTGGGCGGTGAATGGCACTCTTCCAAATAAGGCAAAGGCGACGGGTATGACATGATAAAAAGTGCGTTAGCTAATAGTTCAGTGTCTTTTTCTTCTTGAAAATAAGTAGTTTCGTGAGAGATTACTTCCAAACAATTTACTTTCTCAGGTGATCTCTGTTCACGTTCATCAGACACCGAAGCGTTTGACTTATCATCGGATTTATTACACGTCTTTATTGAAACTGGAAAAGAAGTCGACTCAGCGACGGATGCAGAAGAACCAACACGGTTAGGAGATTCATCGTGAGAATCAGAATCACCGGGACTAGAAGGTATACAGATTATGTCGTGTGACAGACCTGTGTTCAAAGCGAAGGCTTCCTCATTGCAAGAGCGTAAAGACGAATCGTTGTTTTTGATGCCAAATCCAACATGTTGAGTATTACTGATTTCGTCTTTAACCTCGCAAGTAGATTTGTGTTTTTCCATCAAAAGGTTCTCGGCTGATAAAGCAAAAATTTCACCAGCACCTTCCTCCTCCAGAACAGACCTTGATTTATCCTCTTTTGAAGTTAGTGTAAGCTTTCTTTTCTTTCTAACGCCTGGCAAGACTTTCAGTGTCGCTGATCGAACGTCTTTCTCGGTGTCTAGTTTGAGTTTTCGTTTAAACCCTTTCCTTTGAAGGGACAAGGTGTGGCTTTTTTCACTGTGAGATTTGTCTCTAATACTTCTACTTGCAGATTTGAGGGACAGCACACGGGATGCTCGCGGGACGGAGCGGGACGCCTCCTTCTTGCCATCAGCAGTAGCAGTAGGAATCGTGCGGGATGAGAAAAGTCCCGACACGCGAGTACGACTTCGGCACGAGACGCGTCCCGTCCCGCTGTTAAGTTTAACGGGAAAAACACGAGGAGCCTGTGATGAGTGAAAACCAGGTTCATCTTGACCCTGGCGACTCGCAGATGTTGAATCTGTAGGAAGACGCTTCTCTTCTGTCAACAAAAGAGTGTCTGGGGCAACACTGTCAGCAGTAAAATTCTTTTTAGGCGATTTTGCAATAAGAACAGGTAGCGTTCCATACTTCTTCATTCTTTCGTCTTTTTTATTTGGAGAACGTCCCTTTTTCGACAGTGGCGACTTGTCATTCTTTCTTAACCGAAGAGGTGAACTTGTTCCTGGAAGTATCTCCATTCTAGAAGGACTGCTTGGTCTCTGGTTTACCTGTGTAAAGTTCCCACGTAGATTGCCTCGTCTTTTTCTCAAACGTTCTTGAGCTTCATCAAACTTTGAGCTCAGAGCTGGTGTATCGGAAACATCCTTAATAAATACCCTTACATCTGCCATTGCACCACTAACAGCGTTCAAAGACGCGACTACATCGGTATTTTGCCTAGTTCTTCGCAACGACGTTCTCTTAGAGCGTCTTCTCTCGCTTTTGTCGCCAGACTCTGGCAGCTTCCTTTTTCGAAGAGTACTCTTACACGAATACCCCTGCCGCTGTATAGAGCAGTGAGGCGTTATCTGTACCGGAGATTGCTCACCAACAGTAAAACTTGAATCTGGCGGATCATTCAAGGAGCTTGGTGTCTCTTCGTTTTGTTTTCTGACATGTTCGGTGTTCTTCTCAGGGCTGTGGAAATATTTTGTTATAACAGGAGTGTAGCATTCATCGGATGTCCCTTGATCTTTTCGAACACTAGAGGAGTTTCTTTTAATTGCTTTGCACTCTTTCAGGCTAGGAACATTTTTCTGACGCCCAATAACATCATTCCGTTTTGACCCTAATTTCGTTTCCTTTGTCGTGTTATCTTCAGAATCACTTGACTCGCTAAGGAACAACCTAAATTCATCTTCGCAGTCTTCAATTTTCTTCCTCTCCTCCGCCTCTTTCTCAGTATCAACTACATTCATGTCTTCCTTATCTTTCTTTGCCGTTCTATCCACTTCGTGCAATGTCGGCGATCTTTGACTCTCTAAAACAGACATGCCTCTCTTAGAGTACGTGCGAATCGCTCTCGCTGTTTGAGGCCAAACATCCACGCTGATAGATTCTCCACTCTTTTCAGTTTTCCCACGTTCCATATTTCTGTCAGACTCGTCAGGGCCGACTGGTATTCTTTGGGAGTTTTCTCTTGTCGCGGATAACATTACATCTGCTTTATTACTCATCTTATCAGCTTGATATCTAGGATTAACTTTCCTTCGCTTTCCCCGCGGTAGTTGAAAGTCTTCTCTTCCATTGGAATCTTCATCTGCTGCTCCGTCTAACTGGGGGATGTCGCCGCCCAAGAAAGACCCTACCCACGTGTCCGACATTCCCTCCAAGTCATACTGAGATACCCTGGAGAGCAAATCAAAGCAACATTCATCAGTCATCAAGCTCCTTGGCCAGCGCGTGCTTGTTGAATGAAAAAAATACTTGAAAGCATCGCTGAAAGATTTACCTTTGGGATGCAATGTCATTCTCTTGTCCATCGGTCATTTGCTCATCACCAGTCTCCGCTAACTGTGGCTCGATGTCGTCCCAGACCCTCTGTGACATCATAATGGACTCGTCAGCCTCACTCAATTCCTCCTCATCCTTAGCTTCCTCGTCCAAAGCCGCATCTCCTTAATACAAAAAAAACAACCATCGATGATGATTTATTGAAATATCAACAGTAGCACTAGCCCGCGAACACAGATCATTTCATTTCTCTTTAACCTCGCTCGATAACCTCGCGGGTCTATTAGCCTCCATACACAAACTATAGACCATTGTCACCTTTAATTGTTATAAATGTATCTTTTGTCTTTTTTTATGCTAATATTGTAATTTCAAAACTGTAAGTGCAAAATAAAGTGAAGTTGAAGTTGAAGTTATTTGTTAATCTGAAGGGCTGGTTCTGGACAACAACAACCAGGGCTGGTTCTAGGGGTAACCCTACCATGGACTAACGTCCCACTTATGGGGGGAGTACAGAAAAACCATAATAAGCACTGGCGATATCGGACACCTTCGCTCAATGCAGATTTTACCTTAAAAATTTACCTTACAGAGTAAGTTCACTGTCACATGTACTTTGTAGTGGTTGTAAGACCTGTCTTACCTTGATCAAGCAAGATGCTCTGACTCAAAGTTGTTTTTTGGCTTCCTTGCTGACTAGACTCCTCAGCCAAGCTTGTCAAGATGTCAACCATTTCTTTATCCAGACTAGAGGCTACCAGAAAGATAACTTCATTGTCAATCAGTTCTGTGGCGAGTCACAAAGTTGGTAGTGTTTGCTTTGTGTATGTGCTTACATTTTCAGACCCACTGTACAATGCAGTGCATCTACATGCAGTGCTTGGTTCAGTAGCTTTGACATTCTTGGTTTGTACCGGTTGTTTCAATTTAGCAGACTAGACAACTAGATGAAAATTCCCAGATGCTACAACAAAAGATTAGAGCCAGATTCTGCATGGAGGTGTGGTATCATAATGGTCCCGGTGACTACAAACTCGAGACTAGTTTGTTTACCGACCAGGGTCATTGTGTCGTATTCTTGGGCGAGACACTTTCCTCTAATAGTGGCTCTCTCCATCCAGAAATATAATTGAATACCAGCAAACTGTTAGGTCAACTTGACAAAATACTGAGGGTGGGGGTAGGGTATGGGGGTTGGGTGGGTATAGGGGGTGGGTTAGAGTAGGGGTGGGGTGGGTATAGGGGCTGTGGTGGAGTAGTGACAACCTGCAATGAAATAGCACTTTCTGGTAGCTTCGTGTTACAGAACCAGAGACAAGCTCTGGCCCTGCTGGTTTCTGCAAGCAATATAATCTGAAGCTGAGTAAACTTACAGAGGTCTTGTGAAAAAGATCGCTGACTTGCTTCTACAACTTCCTGGACAATACTCTGATTAACGACAGGCTCATCTTCATCAACGACAACTAGATAAGAGAAGAAAACAAGAAAGAAATTACCTTTTAATATTAGGTATGTTGTAAGGTTATGTTGGGTAAGATTTGGTAAGATTTGTGTCTGACAAGATGTCATGACATCTTAAAACATGTTTGAGTTGTTGTTGTTGTTGGCATTTGAGCATGAATTTTTCACAAAACTGATTGTGTGTTGTAGCTCAAGTCTTCCCAATAAAGTTATGGTAGGTTTGAGCACTAGACTCTGGATTATCAAGTCCAGGTTTGAAAATAGCAAATGAGCTTTTGAGGAAGATTCTCTACTGGGTAATAGCCCCTCTCAACGCAAAAGCATTAATAGGTACTGGCTAATGGATTGAGCAATATAACAAGCGTGCTGAGGGATAAGCAGTTCCAGAGAAGCATCCCTCCTAGGCCAGGAGACAAGATCAGCTCCAGGTTTTAGGTACATGGTTTATGGGTAGTTGGTATAGTTAGGTATGCTGTATATGGTTCATGCATATTTGGCATGTGTAGGTAATTTAGACATGGAATGGAAAGTAGAAAATCCTTTTTTTCCCTGGATGTAGGGCATATGTTCTCCCCAACAGGATTTTAGTGTAAGGCATACTGACTCTCAGGAGGAGAAACAATACTCCCACAATAAAGAAATTGCACCCATTGTGACAACTCATCTGACAGGTGACTGAAATAAATACAAGGCCTTAACTTTACCTACCACAATGTGAAAAGAATTCCAATTTTCAGGCTTAAACTTTCAGGCAAGCTGTAACTATGATGCACTAGACTGAACAACATTCTCACTAGCCCCAAAAAAGTTCATCTCTAACTTATTGACAGCACTTCCACAATTTGAGTTTCCTCCATAATTTTCCCAAGAACTGAATCCTCTAGCCCGTCTGCAAAATCCACAAGCCCCAGGCTATAAACATGACTTTATTTGCACCATTTATCATCACAACGAACTTGAAGCACAGTTATTTTGTAACTTATCAAAGAAAACACATTTTCCAAAGAGGGCCCATATTAACAAGTACGATTGATACCTTGTGATGATTCTGCTGCTGAGTCATCTGCTGTTTGTGACAGTAACTGTAACAAAGCATTAGCATCTGAAGAAATGTCACCAACGATGTCTTTCTGAGATGCAGTCAATGACGAAATGTAATCTTGAAATGAGGCGAGTTCTTGTGGCGACAATGCTTCTCGTCCAAGCTTTCCCATCTGGCTTTGTCTGTGTTTGGAGGTGCACAAGTTCAACATGTAAATAAAATAAATGTTACTAAAATTTCATCCTTTTGATCTCATGTACTTCCCAAGTTCAAAGCTGCTATTCCTGCTACTCAGGTAGCCATTCATTTCATTGAAATGATCTCTGAGAATATGGTGAAAATTATCTCTGAGAATATGGTGATTTGGCATGGCTCATTTTCACTAGTGCAGTAGCATAAGCAACATACAGAGATAGCAGAGTGCTGCTCAGTAGCATCTTTTGTTAACCCTTTGACTGCCAACGGAGCATGAAGTTCAACATGTCTTGAGTGGTCATGCTCTTTCTACTACTTGTGACGTCATCAATTTAAAGTGTATTTGACACGAAATTTTTTTCAAAGTATTTTCCTTCTTTGATATATGTAATAAGCGAATAATGTCTTAAAAATGCCAAAATACAGCCAATTTCCCTTTAAAAGTGTCCCAGGAAACTGGGGATGAGAATTGTGTTTGTAACATCACAGTGATTGATAACATTGCTGTCGCGGGAAGCCGCCTTGTCATTTCTCTTGCACGTGGCTTCAAATGTGTCAGTGATTTGCTAGCTAGTAACGCAAATTTTCGACCCGCTCCGTTTCCCTTCACTTTCAGCCATATTGGTTTGTTTATCAAACACAGTGACTTCACAGACGTTAATCATGTGACATTTTGGCCGCGCTATCTCTGGGACAATTTCAACATGAAAGTAGCGCATATTTTCAACGGAAAAAAGGATTTTTAAAGTATTCTCACGATCTAAAAACTTTACAACCGTTTTTCTAACATTATTAACGACCAGAATCAGTGGAAAAAAAATTGTGTCATATACACTTAAAATGTCACCAGATATTCCTGACAAGCAGATAGTAGAGCTAGAACAGATCTATCTGCACAACAGGCTATTTTGGATATCGACGGCATTCTGACCAAGCAAATGAATGAGTTTCCAGTAATCGGATACCCGTGTTTGTGTGAAGAACTCTGGGATCGTCAGGGGGCAAACAATGCTAGTCGCTAGAAGGAAATGTATGGCAAAAAGTTGTTTCGAGGTACAAGGAAACGATTTTTGTGAGAGATCAACGCTTTTTCGCCATTGTTTTATCGCGAATGGATTTGGGCAATGTTGATATGTGGAATATGTAAGTTTTTGTTTGAATAACCGTGAAATATGTGATAAAACCTACCGGTAAACTCCATTGCTTGCGTGAGGTTTATTGTGAAATTTACATCGTGTAATGGTCTGAAAATATTACAATATTAATTAGGTCTAAATCGAGAGGAAATAACCCAGTAAGGCCTTTTAAGTTGTGTACAGGCTACTTTCGGCTTATTTGAGAGCTCAGTCATACAAATAATAACGGAAATAAGCCCGGTGGCGATCATTGTACCATCTGGGGTTGATTTAATGTCAAATGAGTCCGCGCGACTCATGCTGTGTGGCTACTGTGTTGCGCAAAGCCTTTGTTTTGCTTTTACTAGCACGTATTTATGTTATTTTCCTTTTCTATAACAGATCAAGGGTGGCTCCTTGAATATATCTCTGAGTATTTGTATTTAAAAGTGCCATTTGTGCGTGATTATGCTTTCCAAAGTTTGGTATTGACGGTTCAGTGAAATTGTCCGACACAAAGGGTAGTAGTTCCTTCTGCAATTTTCAATGTCTGTTTTAGAGCTAATTCTTTTCTGTCTTTATATTTAACTTCTCAGAGGGTCTTTTCTACCATTTGCTTCGGGTAGCCTCTCAAGATCAGGCATGTATTGAAATTTTCAATATTCTCTTCAATGCATTTCACAATAAACCTCACGCAAGCAAAAGGGAGTTTATCGGTAAATTTTATCAGTTATTTCACGGTTATTCAAACAAAAACTTACATTTTCTATGTATCAACATTGCCAAAATCCATTTGCGATAAAACAACGGCAAAAAAGCGTTGATCTCTCCCCAAAACCAGGTTTTTGGGCGTCGAAACAACTTTTCGCCATACATTTCCTTCTAGCAACTTGCAATGTTTGCCCCCTGACAATCCCAGAGTTCTTTGCGCAAACATGGGTATCCGATTACTGGCAACTCGTTCATTGAAAAACAAAGTCATCAGTTTTGGTGTAAAATGGCCCAATATACATGTAATTGATCAAGGTCCCATTTCCAGGCTTTGCCCATAATTATGTCTTTTACTATGTCAGCTTATGGTTGTGCTTACGTGCTAGTGAAAACCAGCCTTTAGGAGGAACTAATAGTGAATTTTTGGTTGTTTCAAGGAATAAAGTAGATGTTGATCTTGCCTAAGAACTGAAGGTTGAAATGCAATATAATGATTACAAATTACAGGATTGGTAGCATGCTTGTTTGTGTGGGTAACATTAAAAAAATTGATATTGTTGAAAAAACATATTTCTTAATTTCACTGCAATATGCAATTTGATTGCAATGCAACTGCTTTAACAGTTTTCATTAGTAAAAATAAACAGGTCTCAAATTAATAAAAATGTAACAAGATAATATGAAAACACTTCAATAAGATCTATTAAATAAACCTTACATGAGAACATCACGCCCTTCTATTATTTCTCTGATTCTTTCTTTTAATTTCTTTTCTGTCTCAGTTTGTTTGATGAATCCTCTCTCTGCAGCAATGAGAACATGGAACATAAAAATTTATCGCACATAAAGAAGGGTCATTACTCTTAGAAATTTACGCCATCGCTGTGCCTTTTAATAACACATGAACTTATCAAGGGTTTTGTTTTACACTGCCATCAATCACCTTGGTTAATCTCTCAAGAAATTCATTTCTATAGGTCCAATCAATTTTGCTTGTATCTTAATTCTTTCAAGTTTTGGTGATTGTTGTTGTAATAATGATTGGCGGCAGAAAAAAATGCAATTGTTAATAATTAATATTAAGCTAATTATTGGATTTTAAACTATTTACTGAAATGTACAACAAGCCAGTGATAGGTCAGAACTCTTACACTCCCCAGCCTTAAGAAGTAAATGGGTCTTTACAACTTACTAGTAAAATAAAGTAAATAAGTAAACTAAAACTTCCTTTAGCCAGGGTGGCCCGTTCAGCATCATCACCATCATCACCAGAGGGGCCCTGGCCTGGTTATAAATATTACAATCATTAAAATTACAAATATACATAGTGAAAAAGTTGAATTTTACAAATTTCACATAAGCTTTAATGATCAACAACAACTTTCTGACCTTGTGTTGGTGGAGCTGAGATTTGTGAAGATTCATTTGCTTCTCTTCTTCGTTGTTGTTCATCTTCCCAGATGGCAGCTAAGCCAGGATTTTTACCAATATTAACTGCCATAAAATTAAAAAAAAACTATGTACTTGAAAACAAAAAGACATGATAACATAAATTTAACCTGCCTTATCCTTGACCAGAATTCTTAAAAGGATCTTTGAAGTAAACATGTCTTCTTATTGTGCAACTGGAAGTGCTTATGTCATAATGTCCCATTAACAGAAGTCTCCACCACCAAAGAGCGCATCTATTTATTTCAGTCTTTCATTTCATTTCAGTCTTTCATTTGTGTTTATCAATGTTACGCCAGGGGGACCCTGGGAATATGTGGGGAATTTGACTCCAATTGCCTTCCTCATCCTTGGGAATTTGACTAAGAGTCTGAGCCCCAGAGTGGGAATGTTTCATTTTTTTATTAGGAGAAATGGATTCAAGTCACATCATCACATGAGCTTGTCTGTGCGGCCATCTTAAAATGGTGCTCGTGGAGAAGAACATTGTTTATTTTAAGGTAAGCACTTGTTTTCAAAAAATAAAACAACTACTTCTTACTACTCACTTTCAATATAAATTGATGGAACACCTCACTTTGTGGAGATTGGGTGTATTTGTAATTTATAGTCAGACAATCAAGTGCTGGAATTTCAATGGCTCTATACTAGGGTGGGGATATTTGATCTGATTTTACCCATTTTCTGGGCCCTGCAGTGATGATTTTGACCAAACATTCTTCTGAAAAGTCAGATGCCCCAAATATGCCCAGGTCCTTGCCCCTTGGGCTTAACATTGATAAACACATTACCTCCGATCTCAAGCTTGTTCAAGATGTCAGATGCTTGTACATCAACCTCCAACTCACAGAAACTGAGTCTCTCAACCTCTGATCCCAAAACCCAGTCTCTGCAGCAATAAAAAATATTGTTAGAAAGTTATGGCTTGAAAGAATATTTAAAAAAATAGCCTGAAGAAGATATGAGTGCTGAATTATTAAAAATTGTGTTTTTATAACTCAATAGAAACACAGAAAAGTTGTCGTAGTCACATTGTTCATTATTTCCTTTGGTCTGCTTTCTAAAAAAGATAGAAAACATTTTCTTCGTGTTTCTATTGAGTTGTAGAAACACTCATGAAAGTTTGGAAGAACTCAAAAACTAATTTCTCATTCTCCCAAACTTCCACTGATGTTTTGATAACTTGATAAAAACACAGAAAATGTTTTCTTTTTCTTAAATACCACTATGTGAGATTTCTGTGTGAGTTCCGCCTTTGTTTATTGTATTTTAATTATTATTGTATCATTTTCGTTTGCCTCATTTCACATTGCATTGCTTTGTATGGCATTGCATTCCACCGAATTGCTTGGTTTGGAGAGTTCAGCATCTAAGGATCAGGTTTAGATGTGATTAACATATTCATCGGCAACAAATGGGGGCTGAGGATTACCCTGCAAATGTTACAAGTACCCTATAGCCTTTAACCCTAGGATGTTTCTCTTGATCTGGGAAAACCGCCTTGTGGGGAATGATAACATCATCAAAATACAAAACTGTAGCCATAAATGATGATGTATAATATTACGCATAAAATAAGGCAATCTTCAAATATAGAGCTTCTATGACTGAAAGAGAGTATTATACTTTAAAAGTAACACAAAATGCACTAATTAATATTAATGACTTATCATACCATACCTTACCTAGATACAGTATCTTCATTCCAAATTTGTGCTCGAGAGGCAGAAAACGTTGTTGGAGTAGATTGAGGAGAGGTAGATTTCTGGATGGTAGAAGTCACTGTACCAGCTTCCCCTGTTCAAACAAAACTCCACATTATATTTTTACTAATTTCATTTGTGTTTGATATTAATTAATATATTAGTACATTGATGAAATGGACAGTAATATATGACATAATGAAAGAAATAAGTCAGTTGTATATATACTTAAAGGACAAATAACAACAAATCTAAAGTTCTTAGTTTACCAAATTTGAGATGTTTGACAGTTCCCAGCACAACCTAACATCATTTCCTACTGTCAAAATGCCTTGGGGTTAAGTAAACACATGTATATATACAGTTACAAATTGTATTTATCTAATTCATACCATCTAAAAGTCTCACAGGACTCCTGAATTTCACAGTAGACACATGAAGCAGGTTCATTCCATAGAGGTTGTGGTCCATAAAAAACTAGAAAATGTAATAACAAACATATCAAATTTCTGTTTGTTAATAATAATAAAGAAGAAGAGGACTTGAGATTTGAGTATGAGTAAAGGATAATTTATGCTCTACAATTTGTCTGTTCAGTTGGGCCCCAAGCTTGATAAGAAAAGTGTGCACTAATCATCTGGATTTTTATTAAAAGTTCTGTTGCAGTCCAGCAAATTTTTCAAATAATGCCAATTTAAATCCACGGAAACTAAATAAAGCAAAACCAATTAGGTAATAATTCACCTGTAACAGATATGGGATATGAGCTTCATGAGGCTGGAACACTTTATTCATGATTGCTCCATTCTGAAGGAGACTGACAACCCTGCAATGAAACAAAATTTAAGGAACCACTGGCAGCTAACTGTAACTATCAATCCTATTTCCAACAACCAGGAACTTGTTGCATTATAATGGCAAGTGATTTCCAGTGACTTGAAAATTAATACACATAGAGGGAGTGTTAACACTAAGTCTAAGAGGGCAAACTCTCCCATGCAAAAGATATGCTATTGATAGTCCTCCTTATCCCAAAACTAAAATGGAAGAAATCAAGGAGACCACAGAACTGCACAAAAACAAGAATGGAGAAACAGCTGTCAGAAGGCTGGTTCCACCTAGAGTCCACTGAAGAGTTCCCATACCTGATCCCATAGTAACATTCAGTGATAAACCCCCTGGGGGTTGGAATCCCAAATAAAAAAGATGGGAGTGCTCCTCATACCTTTTAGGGGTTAAAAAAAGGTGTTCAGCCTCAAAAGGTCCACAGCGGGAGCTTCTGCAGTACCTTTTAGCATATTGAGGTGAAAAAATGCATGCATAGCAGGAGATAGCTTTTCGGTTTAGATTTAGAGCTTCTTAGGGGTGAAAAAAATTTAAAGCCGTGCCCACAAAACAGGACCTTGGTACCTCTTAGGGGTTCTCTTCAAAATTTCCAACAAGCACCCAGTACTTTTTATATGGAAGTCCCCACTTCCCCCGCTGGGGATAAACCAGTTCATGACAGGCCAGTTATTGCAATACGGTATAATACGCACGCAATGCATGCAGAGGCCTGTAGCTTCTACACAACTGTCAAAGGACTTTCTTACCGGGTCACCAAGAATGGATTGTACAGAACAATCTTTAAGAAATCTCTCTCTCCTTCATGGTATCCATAGTATGGTCTAAATACAGAGACACAAAACTAAACATTGTCTGGTTTCACACAAGTTTTCAATATGTATTGCAGTAGATGATAATAGCACCACTCTTAAGAAGACATTAACTTCACACTCAATTGTTGGTTCAGATACAACACCGTGGCCTAATGGTTAACTTCTGGGATCCTAGATGAGATAGCCAGCTTCAAGCTTGGTCACCATGTGCAGGAAAGAGGAATACTTCCCATTAATAGACTAATGGGAAATTATGTCCTGCTTGATGCAGTGATTTCAATAAGAAGAGGTGGCAAATAGTCCCTCAAAAACCATGGGTTTTGCAAAATTTTTGTTGAATTTCACTTGTCTCACAGTCTCATTTTTTTCAGTGGTTATGTGCATCTCACAATGTTCTGAATTTATTCACAAAGCTGTTTCAGAGTCTTGATTTTTTTTTGTAAGGCTAAGAAAGTCTCAAAGTCCTGATTTGTTTGTTTATTTGTTTGTTTTAATTAATGATGTTTGAATGTCATAGAGTCTGAATGTATTGGAGACTAAATTTCTTACACTCACATTTTCTTGAGATTGCAAAGAGAAATGTTAGTCTGGCATTCTCCCAAATTCTTGCAATTACTATTCACCACCCCTCTAAGACCCAGCATGTGTCAGAACTCCAGCCGGTATCCTGTCGCAAATCACTCGCCATGTTAGCCGTTTTCAAAACTTCGCCCACAAGAGGAAGTTTTTATGAGTCTTTCTTGTTGCTCTTAGACTGGTGCTGCACTAGAGCAGTCTACTAATTCAAATCTTAGTGAAAGCGTCATGGATAAGAAAAGCAGTTTCTCAACTGGATTGACTATAATTTGATTACATTTTACACAGAGTCACTAAAATGGGGTCACACATTTTCAACAAAACTGTCTCATTGGGAACTGATGGACTTCTTGTAAATATTTTCTGGTTTTATCTCCCATGTGCAGTACAGTCAAGAGTGTTCAAGCACAACCCTCCCCGGGACAGGTATTTTCCCTGATCAAGCCCCCTCCCTCCCCAGTGCTCAATGATACACTCCTCGCATCACTCTTCATGAGCATTGGAGGGGGGCCTTGGTTGGGGAAAATAACTGTCTCAAGGGGGGTTTTGCTGGAACCCCCCTTGACTACACTACTCATTTTCTGGGTTCTGCAAGAGATACCTTTTGGCAAAATTGGCAATCTCCTGCATTTGGGCTTCAGTGGCATCACAGTGGGTCTTGAGTGACTCAAGAACTACACAAATAAATCCCCCAACCACATTGCCCATTCTGCCTGCCTTAGGCACACTTACATCCCTTTAACCACAGTGATTTCATAGACGTGATGACGGGATGACGAAGCTCTACCAAGAGCGACTTGCACTGCAAAGTCCACACTAGTTGCGAACTGTTTCAGGTATTTGTCAGTGGGCTGTGTTCCATCGTATGGTACATAGATGTAAGGGAATATTCCATGCACATGGAGACATGTCTTCTGTCCACTGGGAGTGGCGCCATAAACACGGATAACAGGAACCTTTGACACTGTCGCATCCTCACGAAATTTGGAATTACAAACATCGAGATTAGCAACTGGATCAGCGAGGTAGAAATCACTGTTCACAATTCGTACAGAAAACATCATTTCTTTCTTGGTGTGACACCCATAAGATGATTTCACCCTTTGCAAAAGGGCACATCAGTTACTGCTAGCTGAGTCAAAATTTTGTTGAGTTGACAAATTTTTCCGCCATTTTGTTTTCGCGCGATTGGCTCGGCCCAGGTTTCTGTAGTTTCTCTCCATTCGTGTGGACGTGATAACCGGGAACGTGGGAACAAGCAATACTACCTCCCCGTGTCGTACCCTGTCAGGAACAATGAGGATTTACTATTACGATGAATTTCGCCTTTCAAAAATATTGGTTTTCGAAGAGATGTAGTGTCTGAAACATTTTAAAACTCTCTAAACATCGTCATAAGCAAACGTTCCACAGTCTCAAGATGCAACTACAAAAAGCACAAATATACAAGCAAACGCAAATAGTTTTATAGACTTTTTATCGTTCTTGGGTACAGCGTAAAGGCCAAGCGAAATAGGGCACATGGGCCTGCACCCCTCATATTTTAGGAATGGCGTGTGTAGTTTGGGTCAATTTGTTGAACAATAAGTCGATTATTCTGCTCGAGCTTGACGAATGTCACTTGAATGTCAACTCATTGTCAGGCGATATTCCGCGTGATTTACCAGGATAATTGTCTTTTTTTGTCTCTTGGGGGTAGTGGGTTGCATGTGTTTCAACGCGAGGCCCCGTGAGGCACGTGTCCACGTGCAGGAGTGTACGAGTGGCACGCGTGCCCGTATGGGCTCGTCTCACACTTGCATGTGTACCATGCACTCGCACACATTTGCACGTGCCGGGTTCACTTGAAGACGAAGATCGTGCTAGCGCCAAAAAGTGTTCTTTACAAATCGACCACATTTCCATTTTATACACTCTTATGAACCAATAAAATTATTTCATGAAACGTTCCACCCTCAGTGGAAGTACGTGCCACATGCGAGAGTTTTCACTGGGAAGTCACCACTCCAAAGTGGCGATATCGATGGAAACCCTACTCGTGCGCCTTATAGCTCCATGGATCACTCTCTTTCCACCTGAAGTTCACAAGCTGGTGGGAAATTTCGTCCCAAGTGTCCCGCAGTGGCCATATTGGTCGATATTCCAAGTTACCAGCTTCCGTTTATGGGAGAAGCTTGACAATTTTTCAAGTTCTCTGAGATTTGTCATGCGTTGTGTTTACAGCTTGCATCATCTGGCCTATACTGTTATCAGCAATAGCTCTCCGGCGGCCAACTGAAGAGTGCGCGAAAACTCACTCAATTATTGTTAAGACAGAACTAGCACGAGTTTGTTGATGGAATGCTATTCTTTTTCTCGCAGCGTTTTCAAGAAATAGAAATTTTCCCTCTTTTTGCCACATGTCTTTAAAACGAAGATATGACGACGATTTTACTGCATTTTTTTAAGTACCGCCAAAGATATGACTCGATAGATCAGTGAATCATTGAAGGGGGTTCTTACTGCAACAAAGTTTTGACGCTTTTTCAAGACAAAAAGACTCAAAAAAATTTCCAGACTTTTCAATTTGATATATCACAACCTTGTAAATGTACAATTCATTATAACACATCTTTTATTTCAGTGCACCGCTATAGTAATTTTGAACAAAACTACACCATTATCAACTTAGAATTTCCTCCATAACGATATGTCTTTTGGACTTCGACTTTTAAAAGTTATACTCATGATAGGCCCTACGAAGACTTTGTCCTACGCGAGGCTTTTACCCTTACTCGCTTCACACCTCGTTTTTAGAGCTATTGTAGCCTGCATTTCAGCCATACACTCCTCATGAAGATGCAAATCTCTTTCGGAAATGTTCGGCTCCAGGAGAGGGCTGAAATTCTGGATTCTAGATTTTTTTTAGTCAACTGCAACAGTAGGCTGTTCAAAAAAGCAGCCCGCGCGCCTCCCCCGAACTCTCTTCTCAGGGAGGAACGTAGAAATTACTCGAGTGAGCGGCGGAAATCGAGCCTACTGCAACAGAATCACCTAATATAAGTGACCTGTAATATGCCCGGCCCTTTAAAGGAACTGCAACAGAATCACCTAAAATAAGTGACCTGTACCCAGCCCGTTTGGGGAACTGGAAGTGTGATCCCGCCCACGCGTGATGAGCGTGGGTGATATGTACAGCGAGGGCTTCCCCTGATTTACCCTGAGACAAACATTGGAACGATTACAAAGTCACGTCCATCCAATAATGAGGGCCGTGAGATTAACCTTTGCAGGTCAAACTCCGGCGCACTGTCCCATCACGACGTCGGAATAATGCTACATACGTCGAATTCTCACGCTATGTATTTGCTGATTTTGTCCTGCTTAAGTAATCAAATCGCGTTTCAGAGCCTTACAAGCGCGCGTTTCATACGAACTTAAGATGCTAACCCGCCAACGGAACGCAGAATGCTTGAGTTTACCTGTTATCCAATTTTGGTTTTAAGTATTTCGTGTCGGCTTCCTAAATCTTTCTTTGCCGTTTTAAACTGTTTTGTCAGAATGGATGTGCAGAACGTAATCTGCTAAACTAGCGTGACCTAGCTACCCCCCTTCAAGATAAACTTTTAATAACGCCGAATCTCATTAATTTGTAAGATTCTTAAGTCAGGCGTGAATCGTACATTTTCTCACGTACACAGCTTTGATCTGTCTTCTTAGGATTTCCTAGGCCTTTCTGATCGCTGCCACATGTTTGAAATACCAGCCATCATGTTCGAACGGCACGCACATATCTCCATTTGATATATCTGTATTTCTTCAAGTAATTGCACTGCTTTCATAATCATTTCTATAACCCGGTCTTTTAGTTTGCGTAACCGGTTTCGACAAAAGGAAGGAAGTCCTTTCACCTCTTAATTTATTTAATTACAAGATCACAGGAATCGAATGAATAAACTTGCAGACAGATTTTAATCAGTTTGCTTTGTGCACTTATCAATCATCGCAGATTCATCCTTTCAACCTGCTCAAGTCGAGTAAGGTTGTTTTCTCGGCCGCGCGCGCGCGTGACATCGACGGTGCTTCGTGTGCGCGTCAGCCAGGGTGCTAAGACATGGGGGAGCTTATCTCCAGCGAGGGGAAATGGTATGGAATACCTCTGTTATGTGAATAAAGTATGCAGAGGTTTTGCTTAGGAGCCCTAGTAATCAGGAGCTACAATTTCTTTTAAACCTTATTCGCTTAAAAATATGGGAGCCGTTCAATAAAATAGCTAGACCTTGATCTTAAGTTAGAAGCCTACTTTAATTGAAAGCGAACTAAAATCACAAAACAAATTATTTGAAAGAATTTGCTGCGTACACAAAAAACCAGTATTTCCTACAGTAGTTTTTAAAGCATTAAAATGAAAAAAAAATCTGAACTGCAGCAGAATTTTTTATTGTTCTTTACATCGCGGTACCGGATCGTAGTCCACTCCATGTCCGTTAAATCCGCTGAATTAAGATGTGGGGGTTACGGTGCTTTTCAGGAGAAAACAACCATTTATTTTCCTGTTAAACTTACAATTAGCTTGGGGAAAATAACTCTCTGGGGCCATTATCGCTCGTGCGTTAATGACGGGCCCCTTCGATGCGGACTGTTCTGGATATATATTGAAAGAATGTTTTATATTTTCATGTTTGGCCAACATGTTGATATACTTGTTATATGCGTTTCTACGCCAGCTAAACTAGTCATTTCTTTCTCAATGTTCTTTTGTTGGCATGTTTCCTGTCCTAATTACTGTTGTTTCACCTCCCATTACTGATAGTTATGAGTAAAACAATGGAAACTTCTGTGTGGCCAAACTGTTTCTCTTTCTCAGTTTTCTTTTGTTGGCATATTTTCATCATGTTTGCTGCTGTTTGCCTCCAAGAAAACGTGCTTATAGGTCTCTTTCTATCCGGCGAAAGTATTCATTCTGTTTTTATGTGAAACCCCTGTTCTAAGCTGTTTTCCATTTACAAGGGGAAAGCGGTCGAGTCACGCAAATGGTATGGTTGCAGACGACATTGGGTGCGTACCATTTAGCAGAATTCACTCGGAGCGCCAGCAACCGAGCTGTGAATCTAAGGATTCCAATCCACAGGACACGCTGGAAACGCGCGGAAGGTCTAGAACTGGCACCCAAAAGCAAATGGAAACGACAATTTAGGACTGCCTTTCAACATTTTGTTTATTTCAGGTGTTATCCGGTCGGTCAAGACAAAATAATCTTATCGTTTCTCGCTGTTTCTCCTACAGAAATTTCTCTGGACTTTTTGTTCAGTGTTAGCAGTGTCTGTAGTCGCTATGTGACACACAGCTTATCGAAAACCGCCCGAAAGATATAAATAACGCCCACAAAATTACTGGGCTCACACTGTTATTTTCCCACTCTAGAAGATAAGAAAGTTGTTGATCATGACCATTCACTACTTAACAGGCATGTGGACAATTAATTAAAAATGTTTCGCCAGTTCGATAGGGAGGAGAAATGCTTGATTTCAAGTGGATTCGTTTTGTTTTGTTTTTTTTGAAAAAAAAACACCTGACCCGTCATATTTTATGTTTAATTTGCTATGCTGTTCAAGCTGTCTTCTCCAAGAGCTTTGAACGGACGCTAAAAAAAAAACAGTTTTCATTTTATACAATGTTATGTATGTTCAGAATGCACCTTGATATAACTAGTATTTCAAAATGTGTTTTTAAAATTTTTCAAAATTTGGTCGCACTTTCCAAGTCGTAAACAAACACAGGCCTTTTCCACTATATTTAGAGAACGGTTCTCTAAAAAAGGGCGGAATAGCTTGACCTGTGTTGTTAATCTTAAAAACAGTTTAACACGCTTTGTTCACCAACACGAGGTAAGCCACTTCAAAGGAAATTCTAGTCAATTCCGACATTTGATCAAATCTTCAAGGGAGTATTCTACACCTGTTAATTATAAGTAATCAAATGACCTGTTTATTTCCCTCAGGTAACAGCTTAGCTTTAGAGTGTTTTGTTTTGTCTTGTTTTGTCTTGTCTTGTTTTGTTTTTTAAAGTCTTGGCTGTGTCACTGTAATTTGACGGCTTAGCCGGATGTACGTGGCGAAATGGCTTGACGCGACCTTCTTGCATTTTAAACAATTTCTTTATTTCGCAATCAGATACAATATTTGGCGGTACGTTTTTTTTAACTTTTTGGCCCGGCCCTACAGAATTGGGAATCTCAGTTTATGACGAGGCTGAAAATTAAAGAAAAAGTTTTATCACTTTCTCACAATGTCGGAGGGAAATGCAAATTTATTTGTTTTTACGTAAGTCGGGGACTTTTCTAAAAAGCAATCAGATGGTTACGTAAGAGTATTTGGCAGCTATGCTTTCCGTTTTCATTTGTGCATGCGTCTTAAATCAAAAATATAAACACCAACCTTGTTATCGGTGGTTATAAATTTAAATGGAATTTATTTTGTTAACCACAAGAACACATGTGGGTGAATGACCATGTTATATCAGCGCTTATCAGCCCCTTATCAACCTCAAACCGCAGAGATAATTACCCTTGGAGATTGGACTTCTGGATTGCTGGACCCTGGAACACCCTTTGAAATTCAACATTAAATAATTTGTTTTGATGTTAAAATCGCCCCCAAACTCTTATGATACTACTATAGAACGTTCTAGCCAGATATTCGGCCATTGATGTTTGATCTCACCCACGCATCGGTACAATCGGCGTTATAAATAAAGGCGAAGAAAACCCGAAATGACCAATTGTTATTTACGAACTGCATCACCTGGTCCGAGCTGGTTTGATTGTTAGACTTGTTGCGACATCAAGTTAACTTGATGAGTTTTTTTGTGCGATTCGTAATTAAGACTTAAGTAGCGCATATGTACGTGCAACTTTAATGCAGTCAGAATGGTAAATCGCTCCAAATGTATACTAGAGATGCTTATGAGTAAAAAGAGCACATTTGTTATCATACAGCAAGTGAAAGGTGGTAAGTCGACTAGCGAATTAGATGGCTGTCTCAAGTTCAAGAAAACCACCCAATACTGGTAGTTCGATATGGCGTTTAAACCTCAACCTAGATTGATCGACATCTAAATCCACTTCCTGTCTAGAGTAGTAGCACCCATGCAATATAACTCGTTGTATGGGGTGTGTTTGCGTGGGATTTACCTGGTTGCTGGGCTGCACGCACTGATGATAAACTGATCTTTTCGAACTACTTGGCAACTCAGTGTCACCGCCATACGCTCAGCTGCTGAAATTTCAGTTCACAGCAGGGCGAAAGACTTTTCCCAGTCTGTACAAAAATGGCCAAAAATATTCCCCGCCGTGCAGAGTGGAATAAACTGATAAAACAGAGATAACAAAATACGGAGGAATCCCGATTTCTCGAACTCTCGATTTTTTTCAGTGAACCTTCCGACAACTCGAACCAAAAGTCGTTTCTGATTTCTCTCCAGCTGAACGCTGTAATTGTACCCCCGATTTCTCTAACAGTTCAATTTTTCAAACCAATTTCGTTGGGTTTCGTTAGGTCTCACATGAATTGCTCGATACCCTTTAAGGAAACAATAAATCAAACAACAGAAACAATGCCCCAAGCCTCAAAACAATTACAGCTGCTACAATAATAAAACAATTAATAGCAGCTTACGAAGCTGCTACACCCACTGCTACACTGTCTGATTTCCTCTCCCTTAGAAGTTTCCACTGTAAGAAGAAAGTAACGTGTCAACTTGGGTGAGCACGAGAGGCAAAAAATATAGCTATTACAACCGACACGTAATTTCATTACAGAAAATTAGGAGAAACAGGAAAATAGATTGGATATATAGTTCAGAGCCCGTTCCCGCAAATTGATGCCATTGTAACTTGAAGAATTTTGGCTTTTTCTGCAAATGTCAACATGCTGACCTTTTCATTCAGAGCCCCAAAATCCTGCTTAGTATGAATATCGCTAAATCACTGATTACAAGTATCGATCACGTATTTTTTTTTTCATTATTATTTCTTGCGGTCAGCAAATTTCAGTTGAGAATTATTTTCAATCTAAATAGACAAAATGTTTTGATAGTGTTGTTTCCGATGCAAATAAGAAACGTTGAGCTGATCACGTACAACACTGCTGTATTTTTTAATTAATACACTTGACACGCGAGTGATCCACGCGGATGCCACGCGCGCAAACGTCAGTTCTTCAGGAATGTTTGAGGGAATATTTACTCAAATATGTTGGATATTTCTTTGTGGAGAAGAAACTGAGCTTTTTGTTATAAATAAACATTTTGAAAGAAGATATTATTCCTGCGTAATCGTAACTAGAGAGCTGACGACGAACTTATCTGATTCACCAGTCAGTGGAAACTGACTACATGTCCAATCTGAATAGTTGGTTGTTATTTCAGCTGTCTGATTTTTTCGGGTCTTCGTCAATTCAATTCCATGCCTCAATTCAGTTGACCTCTTGTAACATTTCCCAGACTTTTAGACTTTTTGCAAGTCACTCTGTCCCCGCCAGTATTGCTGAGGGAAATTTCAAGTTATTCAAAAGCCACCCGCTAAAGCCAGTATTAAGCGGCTAATGGAAGGTCTTGCCGAGAAGTTGCACTCGACTGCTGAAAGATTGTCAAAAGCCTGGATTAAGTGGCTGCCTGAAGTCTACAGGAAATAAAACAAACTGATCCGACCCAGATTGATTATATAAGAAAAGAAAGAAATCAATATGCAACTATGTAGTTCACAAGATAACGAAAGAACCTAAGGAAACTACTCCACGCTCCAGGGACTACTGCGTATTCTGTTGAGTGAGAGTGAGATCGAAATACTCTTGTGATGTCTAGCAATGACAAAAGTTCAAAACGTCGTTCCATTTTACTGCTTTTGACGTCTAAACCATGTTGTTTTACAACTTTCTTGCTTCCTGCTAACGAGGCTTATTAGCCAGCACCCTGGTGAACAATTACCGATCTCGGTAACCCACACAGGAACCCATTAAAAATCACGCCCAGCGATTTATATTTTTTAAAAAATACATGCAGCCCACAAAGATTCAATTTTAAAAGTATTTAAGTTGTCTCTTGGCGTTAGGTGTGCCAGTTAGGTCTACTGTGATAATGAATACTTACTTCGCCAAATTCCTTTATGATGCACGATCAATGTTTACTATTTATTAGTTACGTAATGCCGGTTGTCACGTGCGACAACTTGACTTAGCAGCTATGTGAGTTACGTTTTCTCCCCATGCCATAGTTTCACATCGTACTCGCTCACATCGGTTGTTTTGAGATATATTGGCTCCAGAATCGTTCATGTGTAGGTAAATAGTGATTTATTTCCTTATACCGTGCCGGTTGCTGCATAGCAGACATTCTCGCATCGAGCCATGGTCACTTGAACAACCAAGTTCACTTGCTTAAGGTCGCTGTGGTTTCAAAAACAATTGAACTTATTTAGCGTACAACGTTTATACTTTGAGTGATAAGGGGTTTCGTTCCACTTTTTCCGGTTTTATACTGACCCAGTGCTCTTATGTTTGAGTATAGTCGCTCCTCGTCTAATGTCTTTCGCCGCCATACTGGCTGTCTTTGAAAGGGATCACTTTCAACAAAGTCTGTCTACACGGTGCAATCTCGAATCAGTTAGAGCTTAGTTATTAAGCACGATCCCAAGTTTTCTTCAGTTTTGGAGAGATGCTGTTGATCAGTGGAATCAAATGAAAAGTTAGATGTATAATCAGCGATGATCAAATGATAGCAAATATCACATGTGTTGTCATCCCGATCAGAGTAAAGAACCTTGAAATTTCAGAGTTGAAATTCCAGACGTCTTTTTCTTGGCAAACTTTTCACGTTGACCTCAGCTCGCCGGTTCAGTGCTAAACAGACAAAATAGCATGGGATACTAGACATGCTAGACTTCTGGTGATTTTTAATTTGTTAATCTTTCTAAATTCTTAAGGCAATGGGTGGAGTGGGGATTCGTTTAGACAATTACTGACCTCGTTTTGGGCGTAACGAATTACAAAACCCAATAAATTTCCTGGTTTTCGACACTGCTTTTATTTTGCAAGGTGAATGTCAAATTTTTTTGATCAAGTGGCTTTACTTCTATCGTAGTTCACCCAAACGTTCAGCCGGAAATTAACGAAATAAAGGCAATATCTGTCTTAGTTCCTAAGACTGTCATTTCAATTATTAATGTCTCATGTTGTCGAAGTATAAGAAGCTGTGACCAGTCTGTTATCGAATTTTTTTTTTTGCAATACACCTGCCGTCACAAAATTAGGGCAAGACGGGTGAAAATTTTCGGGAGTTAAAAAACTACCTGTAATCGCACCAAGCGCAATGTTTAATTCAATTGGAAGACAATACAAACACAAGAGGTGCACATGTTGAAGAGAATGGAAGAGGCAATTTAATTGTTCTAGAAGGCCATTTTTTGTACTTCACAAATCTATTAGCGTGTAATTCACTCGCTGCCGCAAAATGACTGAGTACAAACCGCACTCTTAATATTTGACTTCCGGTGGGTCGAGTGGCTCTGTCAGGAAATCCGATACTTTCCGATGACGTGTGTGGCTCGCTGTCTGTCTCTTACGACAAGCGAGAATGTCAAACATTCAGTCCCAAGTGCTTTTACTCTTTTGTGTTGACAAGGATCCTCGTTTTCAGTTGACGACAGCGGTAAATTAGCGAGTGACAGCGTTCGCGTGAGGTTACCCTATATATTACGGCAGAGAGTTTCCAGTTCGCTGACAAAAATTACAATATAATCATAGTAGCGTGGGCGATAAAACGCATTTGCAAAACACATGGTCACTCATTGGTCAATTTTCCCGGGAAGTACTTTCCTCCGATTGGTTTACGTTAAAGGGCGGTACAGACAAGGTACAGCCGTCACTCAAATTCTTTAATTAACCAATCATTGCATTTAATGTTATCACCAATGACAACACCGCTGACGTCACGCAGGAATCAATTTCGGATATAGCGAACTCGCGGCGTGTTTGAAGAAAATTGCTTTTTCCGAATCGCGGAGAGAGTTTCAGTGTTTTGAGTTCATGGTTGGTTGTTGCCGGTACCTAGAGAGTTACTTTCGTTCGTTCGTGGCTTGGTGATGAACGGTGAAACGGGTGACAGCGAAATTTTAGAGGAAAGGAGGGGACGTTCGAATACATGGCCCCTCCCGGACCCTTCGGAGCTCACAAAATCTGAACGCGAAGTAGATCAGAGCTTGAAACAGCTCAGCGAGGGACCGAAGAAAAGTTCGCGAAAAAATGCGTGGGGAAACTTGTCTTATGCAGACTTGATAACTCGAGCTATTCAGAGCTCGTCAGAGCAGCGGTTGACGCTGTCACAGATTTACGACTGGATGGTGAACGAAGTTCCCTATTTCAGGGACAAGGGAGACAGCAATAGTTCTGCGGGTTGGAAGGTAAGCTAAGCTTATTAAGGTATGGTATTTCCTTGTTCACAAGAGCAATCAGATGATTTGACTTCTGTAACAGCTGACTGGCTCCCTAATTTCACTTTCGGCGTATTCTACCTGGCGATAATTTCTAATGTTATCTTGTTTGCGTGGCTGTCATTTTGTTGCAGAATTCAATTCGCCACAACTTGTCCTTGCACAGCAAGTTTGTTAGAGTACAAAACGAGGGCAATGGCAAAAGCTCTTGGTGGATGCTCAACCCTGATGCCAAAGGAGGGAAAACGAGTCGTAGGCGTTCTGGCTCTCTCGATTCGGCTCCCAAATCAGAGAAAAAGCGAGGGCGAACGAAAAAGGAGAAAATAAAAGAAGAAGACGGCGAGTCTCCATCGAGCCCTCGACTTTCAGTGAATCGCGCGCGTGATGGCAGGGCCAACTCTCCGGGGAATGTTTCGCCGACTAATAGTTCGAGTTCCGACTCGTTGCTCACAATTCCAGAGTCAGAGTCGCCGTTGCCCTTTCCACTCGGCGACAGCTTTGCCCGACCGCGAACTTCATCAAATGCCTCGACAGTGAGCAGTCTTGGTGGTCGGTTGTCTCCCATACCAGCTCATGGGGACGAACTTGAAGTACCGTGCGAGGAACATGTGCCTTCAAATAATTTCAACATGGCCAGCACTTCGACCCCAATGGCCGAAGAGCTCACGCAGATGGCTAACTCGATGAGTTTGGAATCATTGGCCGCTGAAAATAACAGATTAAAACAGACTTTAACACCACTCCAACCATCGTTACTTCCGTCCGAGCCTCATAATGACCTCGGCATTGCTGCTGTATCAAACGGTATGAGTTCGAAGATATCGAGCAGTTTCGACACTAGCTATAATAATAGTGGATATATACAACCTATTCAACGCACTCAGCAGTCTCTGAGTCCAGAAATACTCCCCCCACAGACTATTGTTGCTCCTCGGCCTGCATACGGCAATTTACGAGTGTACAATCAACCTCCACAACAGCCTCACTTTCAGCAACGCGGTTACTGCAGTCCACAGGAACGTCAGAATACTACCCCAGCTCGCGTGAATGACATATTTTGTCGCGATCAAGAAATGGAAGTGCAACAAAGCCCAGAAAATTCTATGTTTCAGAACTTTCAGCCCAGCTATACTAACGGAATAAACGGTCTAGCACAGAACCATCAGACCTACACGTACACTTCAGACCCCTTCATTCAGCAACATGTCGGGGCAGGTCCAGTGATGATGGAAAATGGCATCCATTCGTTGCAAGGGCACCCATTCACCAGAGTGACAAACAATAATCAGCTCCAATTTATGAATGAAAAGTTTCCTAGTGATCTAGAACTGGATGCGTTTCATGGCGATTTTGACTGTGACTTAGAAAGCATTATCTGCGATGAGATGAACATGGGGGATGGAGGCTTTGATATTAACTTAGAGCAATTTATCAGCCAGATACCTAATGTAGGCGAGATACGCAGTGGTCTCTACTAATTGAAGGATTTAATTTATGGTGTACAGGATAACATTTTTATAACAGATCTAACCAAGCTTGGGCATGGTTGGTTCTTAAAATTTTTGTAAGTGACATTTTGTAAAGAAGCCCTAGGTATCTTGGGTCAAGTAACTGCCAGAATTTTCTTTTGTACAGGAGTAATTCGGATATTGACAGAGCATAAAGAATGTTGAATTTGGCATGTGATCACAGATGATCAAAAGGAAAGGTTCAACGGTCTACACAATTAGGTTGAACTGCTGCCATCTAGTGGGTATTTCCTGTCGTTCATATGTGTGCATCGTCACAGGTGTAGGTAGTTCCTGCACATCTGCTCTGCACCAGATAAAAACTCCATGTTTACATCCAACACATGTTGCCTTTAATCACATTTTTGTTAGGTACTGTTTTGACCATACTAGCTTGCAGTGTTGTTGAGAATGCTTCATAATTTGGTCACATAAAGACAGTGTTGTTGATAACTGTAGTATTGGAAAGATTTGGATTTGTGTATTTATCGAATCATCCATCATTCTCTTGCTTTGCCTAAGCAGTGAAGCTGCTTCTGTGGTTTGCAACAATTTTATGATGCTGAGTTACATTTTTCAGAAATATTAAAATTATGTATACATGACACAAGTTCTTGGGTTGGAACTTTTGAATCAGGCCCTTTTTAAAAGTGGATGCTGAATTTTCTTAATGTTTGTAATGGTCTGTTTGAGTGTTACTCTACAATTTCATTTGATGTATCATTCTTGCCTGAAATGAATTTGCACTTGTACTTGTTTATCTGCGCACATTATTTTTTAGACAGAGTAGAATTTTTTTTTTGTTTAGTTGCACAAATTTTCCAAATTTACCAATGGTTGTCTGCTGTGTGTTTGCCAATGTGTCAGGCATGTTAGTTTAATAGTGATGCTTTTTGGTCTAGGGCATAATTTGATATAACATAGAAAATTATAGCTATTCCTAAATGAATTGAATTGTATCAGTCATATAGATCGAAGAGTAGTGCTTTGTAATATTTGTGAATATATGAAATATGATAGCTGGCCAAGACTTCTCCTTTAGAGTATGTTAAACTTGGTTCCAAGAGGTTGTGAAGTAAGTCACAAAAAATTATATATCAATGCTATGTGCCTATATTTATGATATTGAACACAATAAATTATTTTCTGTTGGCAAGTGATTCTGTTATTAATTACTTAACAGCCAGGAATAAAAATTTTATCACAAAAACTTAGGTGTGCTGCAAGCCTCCAGGTATTACATAAGATGAGAGGAATAATTGTAGCTTGATTCAAGCTGTGGATAACCGGGTTTTCTTGAAGGTTTTAAGAGAAGCACATCATTTCCATGTGCTCTCTTGCCTTCACTCCAGTGATGTATGCAAATCCACGGCTGCTTATTAAAAGGATTGAGCTATTGTTTTGAAGCGTGATACCCGCAGAGAAGACAGGTCCGATTGTTGCATTCTGAACCAATACAAAGGCCCTTTTGTTGTGAACTGTCATTTATTTCCAACAACCGATTATTCTATAGACCTTTGGGAAACATTGAATCAGCTGCATCGTTTGAAAGTTTCGTGGAGTGCCATTATCTGATTGTCTCGTGACTAGCCGCTTAGCACATGACTCGTGCGCCACCGGTCAGTTGAGCCGGCCGTGCTTGAATAAAATGCTTCTCATTTTACGCTTCTTTGCGAATCGAAAAAAAAAAAAAAGCACCGCCATCGCATTTAAATGGCGGTGACAAACATCGTAGTCCGCAGGCAACACGAATTATAATGATGCAAAATGAGATTCCAGGATGCTTCAATGACTTCGTCATATCTAAGTGGCTATTTTTATTTTATTTCCACTTCACAGTTATATTATAGTGCTCGACATTTCCTCTCCTTTGTTCTGCGCTTTTGCTCTGCTTCGTCACGCATGGCTAAAACCACGCGATACTTCGCCAAGCTTTTTGTCGGTTCTGCTTTCGCTTGAAGCTGCCTGCATTGTTTCCTCCTTCAACCCCAAGGGCGCTGAACACAGAAGAGTGAATTTCAAGGGGAAAGGGAAACGAATACGTCGTTTGCATAAAAGCACAATCTCGTCCACTCATTTTTGAGACGATAATGTTTCAACGAAAAGAATTAGCCATCCGCAGGTGAATTTTTCCTGAATTCCAGCTGCGCCTTCCGCTACAGTGCACTAAAATAACAGTGCAAGGCATGCTTTTGTACAGCTTGTAACGTACACGCGCGAACCTCGATCAGCATCGCGCGCGCGATAAATGAGCGCGTGCGCGGGGCGCCTTTCATCTGAAAAAACGCCTTCGATTTTTGCAGTAATTTGGAGAGTCTGTAACACAAGTCAGATTATATATGACAAGTAAATTGTACAGCAAAACTACGAACTAACATGTCTAAAGAGAAACTCGTTATCCAAACCTATACAACGTTTTCCGACCTCACAAATCCTGAAATCCAGACTTTGAACCTCGTTGGACTGTGGAAAATGGAATTTGCTAGAGTACAATATTTTGAACTTCTTTCTCACGTTATATTTTGTACTTATGTTTAAAGTCGAATTCGAAATTAAATTGGATCATTTTTCTGATCTCCACACTCACAGCTTTGGCCATATCAAATATATGGCTTAAATGACAAACCCCCCGCTTACTTGTTCGATATCAGTCCCTTAAGCCAGTACGTCTACCATATAGTTAAGGCGGGGGTAGTTTAAAGAGGGATTAAATTGAAAAAAAAAAGTTTTGGAACACCACCAGACAGTTGAAAGCCCCCCGAAAGTGCACCCCAGGTTGGTGGACAACTGTTTGGTGTACGTCTACCAATCAGTTAACTTCAAATTCTAATTTTAAAACAACTTCAAATCTTCAAAATTTCCTATTTTCATAAATTTTGCTAATCCTTTGAAAAAAAAAAACATTTATCCCCAAATATGCCCAAAAATCACCAAAAAAATTTACAAAATAGCCCAAAACGTAGATATGTGGGATGAGTAGAGAGATTTTTGACTGTTCGAAAGGTGAACGAGATATTTGCGTTAAAACCATAATACCCAGCCAAAATATGACCTTCGTGTTAACCCCGCCCAGTAAATAAAAGAAAATATTAGCAATCTTGCTATCTTAAATTCGGAATGAAATCAAGGTTATTGCACTGTATTGTACTCTCTCCGCTCTCTATTCAGACAACTTTGTACGCTAATATTTTAATGGACGCCCGGTGTTGTGGCTTTTGGCAAATGCTCGGTTTTTCATAGGCATCAGGTTTTTTAAACAAAAATTCAAGTTGCTTCCATTAGATCGCTATTTTCTGGATTATTTTGTTGACCGTGAAATTTGACTGTCTTTCAGGCCCACAACTTATTGTTTTGCACTCTTTTAAAAAGTAAAGGAATGACCTCAAAACTACCGAAATCGCAAATTCTTAACCGCCAAGGCCTTCGGCTTAAAGCGAAGCAAAACAAAAAATTAAAAAAAAAAAAAAAGGCAAAAGAGAAAGNACCCAAGGTTAGAAAAGCTGACGAGACAATCATTATTTTAACCACTAAACTAGCTTATTGATGTAACAAACAAGGTTGTGGCAAATAAATTCAAAAAAAAAGAAAGAAAAAAAAAAAAACAGACCTCAGTTCCGCTTCCCAAATAACAACATGGGCCTGCAGTCCGTCTGCAGGCTTTTCCGTCGTTCTCTACAAGACATGCGCAGTATGCAATAAATTTCGCGCGAAAGACAGATTTTGGAAAGCCACAGTGAATTCGACTTGTACCAGCCAAATATTGATATTTTTATTGCTGTTTATGGCATTACATCCGTGTGATCCTTTCACATAATGATAGAAGGTTGCATAGTGGCGAAGTTGGTACTTGGTAAGTTTAAAACTGTAGGGTATTTACACGATAAGCTCGCCCGCATCATGAGACAAACGTCACCATCTTGTTCTCTCCTAAGCCTCATGTTGTCTGGTGGACAGGTTTAGGTGGAAATTAAGACTTACTTACTTCTTTTCATCCTCTTATTTGATACCCTGCTAATACAAGCTTTGCAGTACGTCCTGTTTTGACAGATTTTGTTTTCGTGCTCATCACAGACATGCTCATCGACTGATCGGTTAAGTGGACGGTGCAGTGATAGTGTTTACAGGATAAGCATTCAAGGTCAACGTAATCTCCAAATCTGAATCAATAGCTAAATAGCCGATGATAAACACGCTGAAACAGCGATTAATTGATAAGTAAATTCTAAAGCTATGCGATTCACGGTATTACTATTTGTGGCTCTTTCTTGATTTCTTTTGTAAGGCTCTTTCCGTGCTTGCAGAAAAGATTTTACATGTAGTCTTAGGCCCGGTTCAAACGTCGGACTTTACATGTGCCGAACCTAATACCAACTTGGGTCGACCCAAATAATTAAGTTTGGCAGTTGATTCAAATGTCAAACCTACTTTAATTGAACTTAATTGCAAAAATAAAAGAGACTCTATTGCAAACGATGGTTATTGCTAACCAAAATGGCGGAAAAATGGGTAAAAATTTAATTGTAAAAATGAAGAGCTTGCTTTTCTTGCAAGTGCGATAAAGGAGGGTAGAACTAGTTGAAGAAGGCGACCCAAATGCAATCAGCAGTAAACAACTGAAGACGATTTTTGAATTTGGTTTGCCTGATATTATCACTTATTCCCAAAGGAACATCACAATTCCTCGTCCAGTTCGTTCCTGTCGTTGATTTCTTCAAGATTCATTTATTTTGTCATTTTCTCTCAAAAACATGACTCACAGTATGCCACCAAACTGGCTGCTTTCCAACCTGCTACAGTCTCATCGTTTTCAAATGCGGAACACCACGTGCAGAAGTGGTTTATGCATATCAGGCAAGTATATTTCGTGCTCTTGAAGCAATAGGAACACATATCATCCCGCTCTTCCCGCTATTTTGTTCCAAATGATCAAAACAAGGTGTGTGTGTATGACAAAAGTAGGAAACGTGCAGATCTCTGGGTAAAAATTAATTTATTTAATGTATTTGTAATGTATGCATTAGGTTTGGTACATGAAAAGTTCGACGTTTGAATCGGAGTTGCTCCACAGTTGAACTGACCAACCAACTGGCCATGTCGAACTTAATTCCCGGGTCGACCCAAATAGCATCTGTCGAACTTAATTGATTCAAACATCGATCTTGTCATATACTTAATTGGGGCTATTAGGTTTGGCACATGTAAAGTTTGATGTTTGAACTGAGCCTCACTGTCCTGCAAAATCTCGAATTGACCATTTGATGCTCCTTCTTATTATATCTCTTAGGTACTACACACAATGTGATTAGTTAATTTAGTGGCCGTATTCTACTGCACGGCCCCCTAACATTTGAAGCTGTTTCTGTTGCCAAAATGTTTCATTGTCTATCACCAAGTTTTCCTGTAATTTTGTTGATAGCAAATGTATGTGCAAACCTTTTCATTTTCGTAAACGTTTGGTGTCATGTATAAAAAGTGCTAATGACTTAGCAACTTGTTTTACTTTTGATGTTTGTCAGTCATTTAAATCCAAGTAACTGGAAATAGTTTTCCAAACCCATCAGGCACACAGTAGAGATAATAGGTTTTAGCTGTAAACATGTTTACCCTATGATGTTACTTTAGCAGATTGTCTACTCGATCTGTAATGTGTGCTGTAAGTTATGGATCTTCATTTTTCCCCTTTGATTTATGGCCCAGGCATTTTGTGTGGGTCATAAACCGATATGGGAAAAAGTCAGTCATTAACTTACAGTACATGCTTCCAATTTGGTCAGTAAGAGGTATTTTTAATAGCTTAGAATCAAACAAAGTAAATAGCCTTTGTAAATATTGCAAGTCATAACTTCATACACTTATTGACCAAACACAAATGGACCATAGTTATGGTCTGAGATGTGAAGCATTTGGATCACGTGTACTAAAGGCATCTGCGGTTGAGTGTGAATTGATACCCTAAATTGATACACTTATCGATACTTGATTGACACTCAATTGACACTTGGCCGACCATTGACCAACTGTCGATTAGGTTTCGTTCAAGATGTTGATCAAGTGTCGACTGAGTATTGATCAAGATGTCCATCGAGTGTTGATCAAGAGTGTTGATTGGGTCAATTAAGTGAATCAATTGACACTCGACCGAGGATGCCTTTAATACACTGATTCAAGCATTCTAAGCCTGTCCTGCCCAGTAGTTGCCACTTAGACTACCTTGTAACCTGAAGCCTGTCATGTAAAGTCAGACCTCTTCTCACCCCAATCCCCAAGAGGTGTGGGTCAAGAAGGACTGGTCGTTCTCTGCCTGTGTCTCTGAAGGATTAGAGTAAGAAGATGTCTGACATTTCACACTAAATTGAAAATATTTATTTACTTAAGTTGATGAATGATTTGTTACGAGCCAAAGTTTGTTGGAACAATATCTATAATACAGTTCAGTTTAATTTCCATAAATTAATTAGTTTTGTCCCTTGATAATCACCAACATGGTTCTTTGTTGCTGTGCTTTTTCTTATTGTCTCAAGTTAACACTATTTTGTAAGCCTGCTGAGTGGAAACTCACATTCTTACTGCTTTCTTTCTCAAAATTATTAAGGTTACTTGAAACAAGAAGGACTTTACAGAACATGCTCTGCTTTCCAGGACGAATGTTCTCTTTTCCATGACAACAACAAGGAACTGGACAATGTATGTTGCAGTAATTTTATAGCCTACATAACCGCTGGTTTAGTTGGGGTAGAGCATGTGAGTGCATGAGCCCAAATTGCAGTTCTGTAATTGAAATCTATGTAATGAAACAAGAGAATCCCTGTTCCATTAGATCGTAGGATTGAAACATTTTTTGCAGGCCTATTTTAACCACAATTTTAAAAGTGTGTATCCAAAATTTATGTGAGGCCACTTTCTTAGGTTATTCTGGAGAACTTTTTGTGATTTTCAGGATATATACTTTTAGTTGAAAAATTCCAATTTGCTGTTAAAAAGGTACGAATATTCTGAAGCCTGCAATTCATCAACACAGGATGTAAAAAAAAAATGCAAATTTCCTCAAATTTGACATGTTCTTGAGTTAAAAGAATTTTTTGCCTAACTGCTTGCAAACAAGACAAGTCTTTCAGTGGTCCAGAGAGGGATGAACATGGAAAGAGAGATAATTATAGAGGGATTCTGTGGTACTTTGGTTGTTTCATTGTTTAGGATTATGGAAATTTGTTTGTTATTGTCAAGCTGTCACAATTTGTTCATTTGAAGTTGTTTCAGGTGACCGAGAACATTTTCCTTTTCTTTTCATAGGTCTTCCTAACAGCTGACCTGAAGACGATCTTGGATGACTATTCCCAGTTGAGAGAATCAGGTCTTATGAAACGTTTGTTAGTATGAACCCTCATTGCTGGGACATGCAAACCATCCTGCCGCGATAAAGTGGTGATCCCACCTGGGTAGATCATAAGCAGACAGCTCATATAAATGGAAATGGTATTTGTTTAGGAAATTTTGACTGTCCTTTGGGTCAACATTGCAATGTATTTCGAATTCTTTTTTTCAGGAAGAGAAAACGGCGTGCCAAGTAGTACTGCTGTCTTAAAGTCTCTTTGGAAGGATTTAGATGTAGTGATTGGACAACTGAAGTAAGTGTTTTAATTAAAGAAAATTTTGACCACAACTTCAGTGTAAAGAAAATTAACTGTTCAAATTGCAAAAGGCCTAAAAAGACAAAACAAAAAAAAGACATTAAATAACAGTGATTAAGTTACTTCTTGAAAAAATAAGAAAAAAAAAAAACAGTGCATCAGGCAGGCAACCAGAAAAATCTTACAATGTACAAGTCATGTACTTAACTGTTAGAACTGAACTGTTAGCACTAGTGAATAGTGTATTCAATGTAGTTGCTGCCTTAGGCATCTTCAATAAAATATTTAATAAGAAACAAGATACCAAAGCAGAGTCAACATTTTAGCCATCACAAGCTATTGATGCTGTCACAGCCTCTTTCTCATGTGAATGTGGTGGGAATCCATTTGTCACATGAGCTTGGGTGAACCAGGTCACTTGCCAAAACATCCCCGTGTTGGGCTGGAAGTTCAAATTCACGTCTCAGTTTAGACTGGATATTGTTCAACATTGTTCTACACTTTACAAGCAAATTTTATCTGTCAGGTTCAAATGTTAGTCATGACAAATCCTTTAGTCAGTTATAGAAAGGAACATTTTATAGTTTCATAATTATTTGACCTTTTGTTTGCAGATATGCCACCATACCATCAAACACACCAAAGCCATCTATGAGTCAGTCCAGTGAGTTATCAAAGAAGTGATTGCCATGCGTTTCGTTGAATGTTAGGTTTGAGAATGTGGTGGTTCTTCAAGGCAGTGGCTCATAGTTGGTTGAATGATTTAGTTCAGAGGAAAGTGGCTGTTGTAGAGAGCTGGCTGTTATGGGGAGATAAAGGTGTAACATGACACCTGTCATTTTTCAGGGGTAGCAACATTTAAAAAAAAAGCCTATTGTAGCATATAAGTATATTTCATAACACAATCAAGATATATCAGTTAAACATGAACCAAAGAGAAACAGATCAGCGACGTACATTACCGCACAAGTTTTGGAACCTTTTACAATAAAAATTGGATCTTGTATGCACAGTTTATCAGTCATTGATTAACTGTCCATTGTTGAGAGGTTACTGTGGCAGTTGGGGCATGTTTTAGTGGCTGTTGCTGTTGTGGAGGTGGCAATTGTACAAAGGTTAAAATAAGAGTAAATGTATAGACTGTCCACTGGGACAAAAAAAGTGTCAGTTATAGAGAGGTGGCTATTAGAGAGGGTTTGATTGTATTTGTGTCACATATTTTCTTATGGTTTGATTTAAGCTTTGGGCGAAAACTTCTGTATAAAAACATAATTTTCTAAATTTAGTATTTTCACTAGCAAGAACAATATTTACTGACAATATTGTTGTTTAATTAACTCTCTTTTATGTTCTTCAAACAGCACGCACTAGGCGGTTTAACAATGCCCGTGCAAGAAGAAAGATGTTGCCCAGAACGCAAGAAAATCTTACAACTGCAACATCAAGTCCTTCCACTACTCAGCATCCTATTAGACCTAATGTAAATAATACAACAGAAAAACTGCCACTACCAAGGCTCTCAACTGTTAATTCACCACCAGATCTGCTCAAATCATCAAGTAAAAATCACTCTCCAGTTCTTCAGTTTACAAGTACTAGTAGAGTAGCGCTAAATGGTATTCAGTCGACTACCAACAATGAACCTGTAACTGTACACAGAACCCCAAGTACTGTACGATCTATTGGGTCTGCTGTGGCAATCACTAGTCCATGTGTTAGTAGAGGAGGCCAGGTAGCCAAAACATCAATTGATGTAACTTCAAGAGTTTTTAGTATTGGTAATAGCAACAGTGAACTTGCTAGAAATGGTGACATTACTGAAGACATGTTTGATGGGATGGATGATGGAAGTGTGCTTAATGATCAAGACTTCAGTGATAGGAGAACAGAGAACAAGTCTCCTCCTGTGATTGCTATAGACGACAATGAAAGAATCAAAGAGCAGGTAGTGCTTACAGTGGAAGAACATTCACTATCTCATTCTCATCAGAACCAAAGTGAATTACATCCACGATCACCAAAACGAAAAGGGTAAGGGACTAAGGTGCAGTGAAACAATGCATGGAATTTACTTATTCTGTAACAGCCGGTACTGCAACAGTTATTTTAGCCTGCAAACAGAGTTTATAATGCTAGAAAATTTATGCTGAAAAAGAAAAATTTCCCCTTTGTAACTCTTTGTGGGAACAATTATTCTAGAAAAAAAAAGTCTCACCTGGTTTCCATTCAGTTACCTTCACCTGTGACAAATCTTTCCTAACCAGCTTTTTCAAAAATGAAGTCAATTTGTTCATTTGCAGAATTCAGCCTAAGAAAAGAATTCCTCAAGGAGCAACTGGGTAAGTGGATAATATGTTATTGTTTCTAAATGAAGATGTCTACTTAATTTATTTTGTCCCAGGGCAAATGTTTATGGTGCAGCTATTGATCAACTGTGAGAATTGAGTAGTCCAGGTTCAAAGCCCTGGCCAGGGTTATTGTGCTGTGTTCTTGGGCAAGACACTTCCCTCCTGCAGTGCCTCTCTCCACCCAGGGGTATAAATGGGTACTGACGGATTTAATGCTGGGGGTAACGCTCCCATCCAGGGGGGAGTAGAAATACTCCTAGTCGCTTCATGCTACAGAAACCAGGATAAGTTGGCTCGTGTACAGACTTTACCTTACCTTTTTCATTGATTATAACTAATATCTTGCATGAAGTAGCAGATGATATGATAATATTTTGCGTTTTTTTCTGCAGCATGTCAACAGTCAATGACTCACCTGTCAAGCTGGTTCCAGAGTCTGCTGAGGTTGAAATGGACCTCATTTGTTCATCTGATTCTTTAACTCCAGTAAGTTCCTAGAATATACAGCTGTGCATCTGGGCATTGTCCCAAAGTTAATACACTCTTTAGCTTACCATGATGCTTTAAAAGCAGTAAATCCCCAAAAGTTGCAACCATCTACAAGAAACAATTTACATTTACACTTTTACACTTACATTACATTTACATTACATTTATGATGTTGTGCACTTTCCAGGTGTGATCGGGGTCGTCCATTGTACCCACATCAGGATCATATGTTCAAACAAAGAAAATGCTATGGCTATGTTTCTTATTTTTATCAATGAGGAGGCAGTGTGGCCGAATGGTTTAGGGCACTGGTTATAAATCTGGAGGTCCCGAATTCAAGGCCTCTACCCTGCCACTAGCAGGACTTGTTTCTCAGTAGTCCTGAGTTCAAATCCTTGGTCACGCTTTGTAAATAGCCAACTGATTTTTAACTATGCTGCGTTTATTTGAAATATTTGTTTCTTTTGTTTCAGTGGCATGCCTGTAAACTAGCTAAGCTTAGTGCTTGTATAGCTAAGTGCTTGACCACTATAAATAAGATTTACATTTACATTTACATTACATTTAAACAATGAAATGTCTTTGTTGCTAATTTTTGTAACTAACAACCCTCTGAAAGTAATGACTTTCCAAAAGTGACAATCTCAAACTTAATTATTTTGAGTTGTTATGTGAAACAATGGAATTATCAAATACAACAGGCTGAACCAAATGATCTGATATTCTTCATAGATGGCCCTTATTACAAAGGCAATATACTACTCTGTTTGACGTAACACAACTTCTTTTCAAAATGTACCCCCTCCGTGGGAACATATTTATTTTATCAAGATGGATCAACCCACATGTGGTACACATTTTAGCTACACATTAGTAGAGGTCCCCATAAACATTATGACCCCCTGGAATCCCACTTAATCCGAAAGTAATGAGGGTTGTTAGTTTGGGAAGTTAATACTATTCTTTGACTTGTGTTCTTTCATGTTGCATTGACGTTCTGATGAGAACTAATGTGTTGGTCACTCCTGAAGATTTTAAAGAATAACTTTGCAGAAATTTCTCAATTTTACTGAGTGTCTTTTGTTACTCTAGCAATCATTCCTTGGCACATTACTCAGCACTCCTCTGTTGCATGAGAGACTGGCAGAAAATATCAACAAAGTAGTTGGGAGGTGAGAATATGGAAATAAATTAACTTTGTTGAAGTGATAATCTTTTCAGTGTAGAAAAACTTTAATCTGTAACACTACCTGCTAAATGTCCATGCAATGCTCATTCAGCAATTATGTCTCAGCCGTATAATGACTGAGAAGTGGTATTTTTTGCTGTACATTGTCTGACCAATAGTGTAGCCTCTTGACTATACCCATTGTGTAGGGGCAAAAGCGATCATTCGATGAAAATATTGAAAGTGTGTACTCTATGACGTAAGTAATTTCTGTGTGGATGAGAGCTCACTCTTTAAATCATGAAAGCACACACCCTGGTGAGTCGTATTGTTTATAATAGAAGGGTTTGTCTTGTAGCACTCGACAGCATCCTGTTAGTGATGAGCCCCCCTCTGACACCACGCAGAGCTTGACAACAACAGAGGCCAGCAGTGACGACATGTTAATGGCATCAAATCAGGTAGATGGTTACATTTGCTGCTTCTTTCCTTTCTGTAATAAACATACATGTACATGTTAAGCATGCTCTGGTCTGAGATGTTGCTATACATTTTCTTAATCTCTAGGGTGCTGGAGGTGATATTCCTGTGAAAGAAATCATGGATCTTATGCAGGGAGACCCAGCATTTGATGTACTATTCTCATTCTTTGGACTTGGTAAGCTTCATTTATTGTACTCTTCTCTTTTTACCGTAGCCTGCGTAGCTGGTTGGATTTTGCAGGCAAGTGCCTTTGTTTTGGCAGTAAAGAGTAGCAAAACTGCAAGAGGATTGGTGAGGAGTCCAGCAGCTTTGCCACTCACATATTCACTCTTTTGCCTGTGTAGGAATAAAATGGAGGCTCTGCCACCAAAAATCACTCGCCCACAAATCCTGTCAACTACGCAGGCCAAGGAAGCTGCATTGACCTAATAGTTTGTGAAATGTCTTTTGAGGTGATTGGCCCAAGTTTGAGCACTCGCTGGCGTCCTTGTGCTGGGTTTTTAGGTTGGGTTCCACCTATGCCCTTACTCTCACAGTGCCTTTCTCTATGCAGGAGACTGGGGTACAAGTTGGTATGGACAAATTAAATTGTTTGAATAACCTGACAAACATGCTGGGAGGGGAGAGGGGGAAGGGAGTTAACTAACTGAAGGCGTTTAGCTGGAATGGAATAGCATCCCATTGCTTGGAAGAGCAAACTCCTCTCAAGAGATTTCATGTTCCAGAAAATGCAGTGAAATGCCAGATCAGTAATCCGTCAAGGCTTGTACCTGATGATAGTACATAGAGGATTAAAGATAACCCAAGTATCTTTCATCCCTCTGTGGTCAGACTTCATCTTTTTTTCTTATCCCAGTAATTTACCTAATCAAGACCTCTTGCCATTTTAACAGATGCTCTAGATGCTTTACCTTCAGCCGCAAATTCCACAGCAGACTCAAATGCCAGTACAGTGTTGCCAGAGACCTCTGCTGGATCATGCCAGCCTGAAAAATCTACTTCTTGTGTTTCTTCCTCTGGTATTAACCTTGCTGGTAACGTGTTTACTTAAACAAGTGCCACAGCACATATTACATTTTATGATGTGCCATTTATTCAAACTACAGCTAAGTAGCTCTATGTACTGACAATACCGATAAGTGATAAGTTAATTCTCTAGTTGCTCATTTGACTGTCAGTACATTTGAGATTAAAGGAGCTCAGTCAAGGCATTTTGAGTTATTTTTGCCAAGTACGAAATAACCTTAAATTGAAGGAAGCCTACAAAATAGTAGTTTACTGAGATAGAAAAACACCAAAGAGATAATAATAAACCATAAAGGAACAAGGATGGTTAAGGATGGAGAAGATTAACATGGATTACAAACGAAAAACTATGAAAATTCAGGCTTACCTTTTCAAGATGCGCAAACCGTTATGTAGCTCCTTTGAATAACATTTTTTTTTTCCAGCAGATAGTCTTGAAGCCCCGCCATTTCCCGAGGAGTGTGACTCTGTTTCAGGAACAGAGATCACCCCCATGCTGCCAACAGCATCAGACCAGCAGCTGGAAACTCCAAGGTCTTCATCTGCCTCTGATTTGCACTTGTCAGGTTTGTGTAGATTTCTGGTTGGCGTGATAAATATCTGATATGTTAGTTTTACAAACGAGCAAGGATCAATGATGAAATGTGAAAATACTTTGAAGTGAAAATCCCTTGTGAAAGTACTTCTCATTAGCTTTCATTTGAATGGTCACACATTAGTGTTTCATCCACAGACTTAAAAGTTAGAACCACCTTGCGTAGTAAACAGTACCACATGAAAGTACTGCTCAATAGCTTTCACTGGAGTGGTCACACACCATGTTTTTTTTTCTTTAAACGTAAAAATTAGAATTACATCCTACCACATAACCCTATTCCAGAGTGCTCGTGAGGTTCACTGCAGTGCTGATTGGTGTAACACGAATAGCTAGAAATTGATATCTGATACATAATTTTTTTTTTCCTCAGCTACCAGTATTGTGACAGATGCGTTGCTGTTACTGGCAGGAAGCCCTCAGAAAATTCCCCCTCATTCACAATCACAGCTGGATCGTTCTGCAAGTGTACTAACCTCGGGGAAGCGAAATCCAGTAACCCCGCCAAAGAAAACACATTCTGTTCAAGAACAGTCTGCAAATGACAAACAACCCCGTGTGGATTCCTTACCCAGCAAGGCTGGTCTTATCACATCAACGTTTCCTTATGTACGAGCACTTGATTTTAATATAGACAAGGGACTGGAACCAGTTAAGAGAGGTCCAAGGAAAGGGAGCAAGAGTAAGAAGGGAGCCAAGCAGAAAACTGTAACGGATCAACAAAGCAAAGCACCATTAACCAAGAAAGGAGGAGGGGGCAACAAGAGACATTTGGAAGCCAGTAAATCAACACCATCATCTAACGCTGCTGTAGGTTACAGAAATACGCAAGCTGTGTCACCCTCAACTATTGCTACAAACGTTTATTCAGGCATTGGTCCACCATTGCCCAACTGTGACAGTGCATTCAACCACTCAAGTAACACCATCCCCTCCCCTGTTAGTTTTGTGGTCCCAAGAGCTTGCCACAACACTCAACCTTACAATGTGGTCAGCTGCGGCACTTTACCAACTCGTTCACCTATCAGTGAATGTAGTCAGACCACCACACCATCTACGTTGCCTGGTAACCTGGTCAGACCATCTGCTGGACCTGTGCCGCAAACAGTCACTTGCACCAATCCAAGTTTGGACCCTTCCACTTCACTTGTCACGCTTGTCAACTCACTTAATTACCCCGTCAATTTCACCAGTGCAGTTACGAGCCACCCTTCGTCACCTTGCAATAATACCAGCTTGGGGAATTGTCCTGTCCCGGTCAATCACAACCACTCATCTTGTATGACCTCTGCCGCTGTCAACTTTTCCACTCGTGGTTCAGTTCAGGTCTTGTCACCTTTCATTCCTAGCAGTGCAGGTTCTGTTTTCACCCCGGTTCCTGGTAATCTCACACCCCAACACACAACTGTCGCCCCTTCAGCTGGCGGTTTAATGAACCCAATCGCATGCCCAATTCCCTCTCCATCTGTCAATCTTGCCATTGGAGCCAATAGTAATCCCGCATTCCCTGCCAGCCTCGCCGTTTCAAGTTTATCATTAACAGGATCTACTCAAGCTGTTATCCCTGGCCATTTCACAGACTCATCGGTGGTCAGTTCAACCACCAGCTCTAGTAATTCGCAAACTAGTCAAGAACAGAATGCCCGCGAATCAACTGGAACGCGAACCTCATCTACTGATGCAGTTGTCACGCAGGCAACTGACGCAGTTGTCACGCCGGCAATTGACTCAGGTGTCACGCAGGCACCTGTAAGCTCATTATCCCTGCAAGCTTCTAATCTGTTGCAGTCACTAGCAGTACAGCATGCAAACACAGAGAAGAACGAACCACGAAATGTAGCATCTATTCAAAGCGTAACCCAGCTCAGGAAAGAAAACGCTCAAAGTTTTGAAAAAATCACTGCTCTCTCAAATTCAGAGTTAGTGCGTGGACAGCAACCTCTAAAGGACAAGTCTAAACAGAATGTGAATTTATCTAAAGACAGCGCGATAATTCTCGGTGAAAAGCACAAGGATGACATTTCTTTGGTTTGTAAGTCACCCAGCACTGGGCCATTAGAGAAGGGCTGGAGGGACAATCCAACTGTTTCAGGATGTTTGCCGAAATCGCCGGAAAACAAGAATGGAGGTACCACTACTTTGGTAATCATGAATCAGGGATGTAGGGAGCCGATGAAGGAAAATTCCGCAGGCTTCTCACAAACACGAACGAGTAGCGAGACAGAAGCACAAGGGTCGCCAAAGCCAAGAAGGAAAAGGCGAAGAGATTCATTGCAAAAGGAAAAGGTAAATGAGTGTTTTCCAGAGTAGCAACTTTTAAAACAACTTATTCTCAATCACGCGAGAGCAACATTCGGGATCTTTTTTGGCCACCTTCTATGTTTGATCGTACCAACTCTTGATTAACTTGAGGGAATGATTACTGAAATTCATGCAAAAAGTAGGTTTGTTCAAAATGGACTAAACAGATCAAATTATGTTGCTTTTAGCCAGCCAGGAGCTAGCCCTAAACTAGTCGTGACTGCCTTTGTACGTTTACTTGCGTTTGACTTTAGTTGCTTATTATTGCTTCCAGGCAAGGCGGACTGTAAGAGATTTTAGCTGAGAAGTCTTGCTTGCCAGATCGTAATCAGTGCTTTTGACACCATTTTTTTTCTAGGAAAAGAAGACCAAATCGTCATCTCGACCTTCGAAGGTTTGTTTTGCTAAATTTAAGTGTGGTATAAAATCAAACTCAAGAACATCTTGCTAAGGCAAGATGACATGATCAATTAATTAAACACACGGAACACACGCGCAATAAACGGTAAAATAAAAAAAAAAAACCGCAAGACTGCCGCATAAAAGTTTGTTAGAAGAGTTCTTGCGAAAATTTGTTGGAGTCTAAACTAAATTGATCAAGCAGACCTCGATTGTAAATATTTTTGTACTTTTAGAGATTAGAAATGTTAATTAAGCTAAGAAAGCTGAGCTAAGAAGCTAAGTACTTTATTAACGTGTCGAAGTTGGTAGCATACAATGTATACTAATTGGGGACACCTAACTATGATTACTTATCTAATAATTAATAAAATATGAAATTAATACATGTACGTATGTAAGTGTTTTAAAATATATATATAAAACAAGCAATGAGTCATGCAGTAAGATCAAGTGTTAACTTAATTTGTGGTTTTCGTTTTTTTCAGAGATCCAAGACCAAAGCGGACAGCATCAATTTCCCTTCAGATCTTAATGTTGAAGAATTTTTAAACAAGCTTCACTATGAAGTAAAATAGATTTATTTCATTCAGATGATAGGATTGAAATTACAAATTGAAACTTTTACAACAAAATATGTAAATACAAAGAAGAGATCTATTTTTATTGCGCCATTTTCAAAGTAGAATATATTACACTATGTGTGACAAAACATTACGGATCTTTCAAGACTAATTTTGGGGAAGATCTTTTAAAAAGAGTTGTTGAAGTGTGTTTGTGAGAGCTCTTTCACAGTCGTTGGTAGAAGTTTATAGCCTCGGCAGTACTCTCGTTCCCAGATCTCTCGTTTGCTCATCCACAAGAGACTTGGAAACGAGACTTTCTCGTCAGTTCTCATTTACACTAGAATCTATTTTGAAAATCGAAAGAATTTGAACAGGCCGCCGCCGTATTCGTATTCTGGATATTGGACTGGAACCAGCTTGTAACTGAAGCTAATGTGGGGAGCCTTTTTCAAATGCAAATAACGTTAATCTCTTTTTAATGATATTCTCCCGTATGAACCTCCATTGCAAGCTCGTTCCAGTACAGTGCCAAGAATACGAATATGGCCTGTTGGCTGAGGTCCACTCTAGCCCATGTGACCGCGTTGGAGTGGTTTTGGCTTCAAGCAAAAAGGCAAAGATAAGCAGAAACCAGAGCGGATAAAGGGCAAAAGAGTATTCCCATGGTAATCCATCTCAAATTATTCTTTAGCTATGGTGTCCTTTCCAGTCGTTCCGCGAATAATGTCAGCTTATCCGCGTCACGGGATTGGATTGCTTCTAGACAACCCTGGTATTTCTGAAGTCGGATGCGATCTAAAAATCACTTGAGAGAGATTACCTTGGGAATAACGCTTAATAAGGACTATTAACTCTTACTCTTCACCCTCTTGGTAGAAATCACTGATGATGGTGAAATGGTAGTAAACGTGTCGTTGCAGTTGTCTTCCTTAACATAGGAGATGTTTTTCATGTTGTACTGTACCTGTTTGGTGGTTGTCACACGTTCCAGTTAGCCAGTTCTACATGTAAAATCGTTTTTAAAAGTTCTTTTGCAATTTTAAAACAATAAAACTTGTTTAAGTAACTTTGTTTTGTCGACCTGATTGATGTTTAGCTGTTCTAATTGTACTGCCTGCAACGGGAAGTCTTCCTGACTTTGCCCTATATTTTGTTTGAAATACACTTTTGATCAGAAGCGAATAACCTCTTCAACTGTGAAACGAGAACTAATTTCAGAGAACCTCCTTAGTTGCAACCACTCATAAGCGACCACCTTTGGTAAGCGGACATTTCTCCAAAATGCCAAAATTTCCCCTCACAAATCACTACAATCTCCTTCCCAGGGTCTCTTATCTCTAATATAAGCCTACAGTTGGAACTCGCTGCAAGCGTCGATCTCACGTAATCTATCTGCGACGACGTTGTAATTTTGGACTTGTGGTTTTAAATTTGCTATTAGTTTTTACCTTCGAATTTTCTTTTATTTCTGACCTCCAACGAGCGACCACTTCTCAGAAACCGACCTCTCACACTAGACCACTTTCCGGGAACATTTCATTTCTCGTATCCCATGTTCACGAGCGATTGTTGGTTCATCGTGACACTGGTAGTTCTGCATCTGTAAGATGAGATCGTCGCACATTAATCTCCTCGAATTACTAGATGTGTCCTTGGATAACGCGTTTTTGAGGGGTTATGTTTTCATTTACTTAATATATCAAAGACTGAAGACCGTGTTTGACCACATTTCCAAACAGCGAAAAGAGAGTTGAAAACGCAACGCGTAGCGGAGTATTTCTGGACGAGCTTCGAGGTGTTTGGAAATGTGGTCAAACACGATCAGTCTTGTTTGATACATAGATGAAAGCATAAATCCGCAAAACGCATTATCCAAGGACACATCTAGTAATTCGAGGAAATTAAAGTGCGGCCATCTCAGTGTTTGATGTATCTTCTCAATCGAAACTAAAACTAAAGATAAAACGGAGAAATATAACCGTAAAAATCTAAGCTAATTAAGATCAGAAATCCAAACAGCGCCACATTCATGATTTCCTTGGTTAAACTTGATGAACTATCAATGAGTTTGAGAACCTTTACCACAACTGCCGGGACAGGCTATGACCCAAAATTTGAAACTTCTGTTATGTGGACTGATCTTGCAAGGACCACTTGCCAAGCAACCCTAGGCCGGCCAGTTTGAGTGGTCTCCTTAGGAGAGGTCCGACTGCTTGTCTACCGTCATCCGAAATCTTAGAAGGAAATAGAAGCGTGTCTGATGCATGAAGTAGTCAAAACAGAAGCGTGGGGCTGCTCAAACTGGTTACGTACGATGTACACGTGGCAACTGCTATTTTGCTGTCTCATTGCCATTGAACAAATGATGATATCCGTCCCACAAATGAATGCAATCAAATGCACTGTAGTATAGTGACTACATCACGGATAAAAATATTTAAGATTGCATTGTACATGGCGGGTCTCTGATTCCTTAGTGAGCACCAAATTCTCTGATCGAATAAACTTTTCTGTTTACTGACTGCGCATATTTTCATGGAAAACGTCTAATTCCATAGCAGGTAAGTGAATGAACAGAAAATTCAAAATGTCCTCCCCTACTTTTCCAGAATACTAGCCTAGTATAAACAAACTGCTTCAGTGGATAAAACAAAGCTCTCCAGTTGTTTCTTCTTCTGTGCTTTCATGTTGCGCGCGTTAGTCATTAGATACATCGATCAATACTTCAATTTGTTATGCATATGCAGCCGTCCAGCTAGATTAGCTTCGTGTAGTTATACTAGGTGGGATTTCATCCGCAACGCTCGTTTGAACATTCATCAAAATATGAAAAAAAAAAAAAGAAGAGAAAATAAGCTTTTGGAAACCAAAACCTTTTGGACTGATGAATCTTATTCAGATGACTTAGCTTAAATCTGTACTCTGGTTGTAAATTAAAGGAGATGTAGTTTAAAAGTCAATTTTTGTAAGCATGCGGAACGGTCAGTTCTTTTACAGACTACGTTTAACCTAGCCGTGTTTGTACTCGACTCAGTCACTGTGAAATAAAGGCAAGCAACTTATCTCAAGTCAGAAAGAAAGAAAGACAATAAAAGAGAGAAAAAATACTCGTGAATACCTGAGCAAACTGACTATTTTTACTGTTTCCTTTAAGGGTGGACAAGATAATAGACCTTTTTCGACTGGGTGGTTTGTTGCCCCATTTCAGACCATGTGATGATACTCTTGAGAATTCTTCCTTTCAAATTTTCAAATCGTCGTGTGCATATCACGTGGTCTGTAATGGGAAAACAAACCACCTAAGCGAAAAAGGTCTATTTGAAGACGACGCGAGCCCCAACAAATGGTTAGTTCTGATGCGACTTTCTCCCAGGCTTTCACGGTCAATGAATTTTGGTGAAAGACGAGCGGACCACGTGATCTAAGAGGAATATTGACCACGACGAAATATCGAGTCCGAGGAACTAGGCAAGTACTTCACGGCAAGGCGATGTAGTTTGGCATGCCTAAGTTTTTAACCAGCAGGTTTAGCCCTCGATTAGAGTGTATGTAGCTAGTATATCTATAAATTCAAAAGGTTTTGTTTTTTAAGCGTCCAGTTTAATCGAATAATCCATCGGGTGAATTTCTAACGCCACAATCGACTCTGATCGAACTTTTTCCAGAGGAGTCCAAGCGTTCGATTGACGAACTCAACTGAGGACATCATTGTTCTAAGCAAATATTGCACAAGAAAACGAGATTAGTACGCAACTGATTTGTTTGCATTAAATTTGAACTAATTTGCAGCTGCAGTGTAATAGAATTTTTCACTGAACTTAATTACCTCCTCAAAACTTCCAACCGCCCGAGGACTCATTTTTTCAAGGCCGCCACATTTGTTTATTAAAATAGCATTTTGGGGCTTGTTTTTCTCTGAAAACGCGTCACACCTGAAACAATTTCGACAAGTCATGCGTGCAGAGGGGAAGAGAAATTTTTGCCAAGAAAACAACTAATAGCATTTCATACTGACCCACCAGCAGGTTTTCTCGATCTTGTCGATGTGGCCCTTCCGTGCTTGTGCTCATATTAATATTACTTGCGCTCAGATTTGCAAGCAGCTGCGGTTCAGTACCAACATGCGTACACCCGAGCACTAGTGCCCCGGTCGACGTATATCTTCAATTTCAAATTTGAATCAGCAAGGATCTCAAAGTCGGGAGTAAAACGTTCTTGATGCTCTGGGCCGCGTGTTCTTCGGTACGAGTCAGTTGTGTCTACTGACTCGGGCGCAATATCGTTTCATGCATATAAAAAGCGCAAAACTTTGTGAAAGCGAGTTTAAGAATATATACAGCAGCCATTTGCAACCGACAGCTGAAACAACTGTTTGATGAAGGGAAAATAGAGAACGTATTTACACGAGCAGTTGTCCGCATTGTTCGTTCACCGCCCGCCGGAGCCCCAGGAACGTGTTATTTCTCGGCTCTTCAAACTTTTATGACTTTTATTTTTCTCATTGCGCGTTTTCTGTCTCAAAGAAACCGAGCGAAAATTCCACTACCATTGTGTCGAAATTCTTAAACGAAATCTTTATCTTGCACTTATCTTATCTTCGCCGTTCGCCGCCATCTTGGAACCTAGTGTTGAGCAAAGATATCTCACCCGGGGAGGGGCTCGTCCATGCTGAGGTGAACCATCGTTTCACCGGAATAAAGCAGTCATAACTCAAAAGACATAACTTTTTTATCAAGAAAATAGAATAATTATACAAGTTGAAACTTTAATTCTCATGTGAAACTTTATTTGAAAAAATCCTTCGGTTAGTCCTCACGGTACCTTACCCTACCCTCCAAAGTGACTTTTCTCGAGAGCAGACGGTATGGAGATTCCGCATCTCCGCGTCGAAGAGCGTGCTAGATTGGTCTTTACTCATTTAAACTCGTATTTCACGCCAAAAACGTGTTTCCTTTCCGTACCTAGATTCATTTAATGTAAGGAAACTGTGTTATACGTTGTTTGAAAGTCATGACCGGTTAAACTCGGAAATTTCGGAAGAAATTTCCCGCCAAATGGAACGCCATTTTGTTTCCGTGCATCGTACACAAGCGACATTGATGTGGACGCTGATCAATTCATGAAGTCAAGTAGTGCAGAATTTTGATGACCACTAGTGATAGATAAGAGCGGGAATAGCTGTTTTGACGTCGATTTGTGATAAACTGTGTCCTTAAGTCCTGTTTTAGTGACATATCCTGCATCTGGGAAGACCTTTCGTACAGCGGCCATATTGGATTAGGAGATTCAGCACGCTGCGCCATGTCCGCGACAGGCGAAGCAGAAACCGCGTCTGAAAAGCCGAGTGGCGAAAACTTCAATGATGAAATGAAGGTGAGCAAATTTAGATTAGATTTCAGCTAAAAGTGCGGTTGTTTTCGGATCACACATACCAAGATTAAAACACCAAACTCTTTTTGAAGATTCAGGACCACTCTTGGTGACTGTAGAAGTTTATTGAAAGGACGCACGCCGTGGAAAGTTGTATAGTATAAAGCTACTGTTTTGCACTTTAAAAATAATGGCAAAGAGTAAGTCTCGAATCTGCTGATATTCGTTTAAATCGGGTTGTTTGCATGTTCTTGCCATGCGACTATCTGCAACCGTATTATAGGCGATGTGACTCGTTGATTAGCCTCAATGACGCTCAGTGAAAGACTAGTAAGCTTATGTGTTATGGTTCAATTTTACCCTTGGTGCAATTTGTTATTGTCCATTTTTCCGGTGTATAGTAATACAGTTGGACTACTAAAGTGAACTCGGCTATTTCGAATTCCTCGTTATTTCGAATTAAAAACCATTTCCCCTGGAACTTGCCTTCAATCACTTACTATTGGCTATTTCGAATTCCCTCTATTTCGAACTATTTTTCGTTTCCCCCGATGGAAACAGGGTTCAACTGTGTAAGATAATGAATTTGAAATAAAGGAACATATTGAATTGTAATAATGGTAAAATTTGAACCACAACATGAATATGCATGAATTCTTATGCATTTCATCAATTCCAGCGGTGCCCATCTCCCTTCCCCTGGTCAATAGCCAGGCATTTGCTTGGAAAACAACGTCATTGTTTTTTTTTTTTTTTACAATAACAATAAGGTATCAATTATAATTCATGTGTCTGTCTGTCTGTCTGTCTATTGACAATGAAAATTACCCAATTAGTGCGCAAAAATATTGTATATTGCTTGTCATATTTACGTGGCTCCAGTGTAGAGGGATGTAATTTAGTACCCCTCTGAGCCGTTGTTATCTCACGTTCTGGTACTAATCGTATGAATATAATGTTCCAGGATTATGCAAAAAGCACTATGAATGAGTTATTGGGAATGTTTGGTTATGAGGAAGCAATCACGCGAGAAGCTGTTGAAGAATTGCAGATTCGACTACTTCCAGAAGAAGACGATGAAAACATCCAACCCACCAGTGAAACACTTGATAAGCCAATGGAGACAGACAAAGATGAACCTGTTGCTGTCAGCCTCAATGCTGGGGAAGCTCCAGTCGTGGTGCCAATTGCAGGTAAATACTAGTGGTGTTTTTACATGCATGTATGTTTGTAATCAAAGGCAATATGATGTATGTGGAAAGCATTGAATGCATGAAAGAGATTGGCTGTTAGATGAAGAAAGTAGTATTCGATAGGCCCTTTGCAGCTGGGGCCATGTGACAAAATTTTTTGCTAAAAATTTTTTATATCGTAGGCTATACATGTAGTTTAAAGAGTGCCAGAAATGGAAAGAGTATATTGAAAATAGTAAAAAGGCCAAGTTTGAGGCCCCTGACATTAAAGAGTAAGTTTATATGTCAGTTTGAATTTGTGGAGGATATCTATAGAAAATGTTGCTGGAGAGCAAGGTCTTGCTCTTCAACAACTTTTTTTGCATACAAATCTTCTTAATTTTTTAAAAATTCAAACCATCATAAAACGTCATTCTTTATTGCCAGGAGCCTCAAACTTGGCCATTTTGATATTTTTGACATACCTTTTCTCTTTCTGACATTCTTTAAGTTACAGCCCATAATTTTCTGAAAATTAGGTCACGTCATGGCCTGCATGTAGCTGCAAAGGGCCTATTGTGAATAAGGGTATTGGAGTTTCTAAAGTTTTCTCACTTTTCTCCGACAAAGTGCTAATGCTCAAAACATCAGTTCAACTAACTTGCTACGGCAGTTAACTTACCGTTATCAACTTCAAGTTGATATACAGGTATGCATTTTATTATGCTTTTCTGATTCCCATCCCTTGCAAGTCAAATGGTGAAGATTTGAGCCAAAAATTTAATATTACTATTGCAGTCTATAATCATGTCTCTTACTGGTTGATGTTGTTTTTTTTCGTTTTTTTTTTTTTTTTCTATTTCCAACCTATAAAGGACATCACATGAACATGGATAAGGCTGCTCTTTAATCTGAATTGGAATTAAGTTTACGTTGGCTCAATCACATTGTATAACAATGATACTTTCAGCTTTGGGTGACTAGATCACCAGATCCTGACATTGTAATTCCACATTTATACCCTTAATTGATAGTGTGAAATAAAAATAAATTTGAAATAAATGTGTGAAATAAATTTGTCTTCTGAGGCTAAAGGACTGTGTACTCTGAAATTTGTACAAGAAATTAATTCTTAGTTTGTGTCTGTCATTGTTGTTGAAAGGTGAAGAAAATGATGCTAATCCAAGTGTGTTATCAGTGCCAGTTTCAAACAATGGTGTAAGTAAAAAGAGATTTTTTTATTTTGCATTTTAGTAGACTGAGGGCAGTTACCCTTGACATGATATTGATCATTGCATGACAGCTGAAAAAACCCCAGGGTACAGTACATGTTTTTTAGGCTAATGTTGTGATTTTCGATTCCAGCACAAAGATCCACACGAAAAATATTGAGCTTCATTTCTAACTTTGTTATGAACCACTTTGGGGTATTTTTTTTTGGGGGGGGGGGAGCATGTGTTATTGTAGAATTCTCAAGACATATAAGGTATTTGTCTTTAAAGACAGAAATTACTCATGATTAATGTTCAATTTGATTAAACTACACATGTGAAACCAAATGGAACACAACATTACCAAGAGAAGGTGATATACACTGTACAGTACATGTAAGAGGCTCTCTATTAGGAGCGTGAATAAATATTTTCTATAACTCCAGGGCTCGAAATCGCGACTCACTGGTCGCCAATGCGACCAAAAATTGAGTACTGGCGACTAAATTTTCAGAACTGGTCGCCAGCTGGCGACTCACGTTTTGTCCGATAAGTAAAGCAAACCATGACACAACTTTTGTTTTTAAATCTTTATATTAGGAAATCAATCGGATATGGTAGCTAGTATACAACTCACCTTTCCATCCCCAGTAAAATAA